TTGTACAGCTCTTTTCATAATATCCACGAATCAGAAGTATCGCCACTGCTGTTTTTTTTTTTTTTTTTTTTTTTTTTTTCGTCGTTTATAATTTGTATTATAAAGCTATACACATTCAATTTAGTTTGATAATTCTACTTACATACTTAAGATCGAAGTTTATGTTGTTGTAGGTAATAGTTTACCTCTAGGTAGGGTTAGTTGTTTACTTAATGAGAAATGCTTTCACTGAAATCGATTCGACCGAGGTATGAAATTGGAGCGGTATCTCTCTCTCTTGGCCAAGCAAGTGTTATAAATGCAAAAAGACGTAATAAGATCTGTGTTAGTCTGTTAGCACTCGAATATACCTACATGACTAGTTTTTCTGTGTCAACAGATTTTTTTTTTTTTTTCTTAAAAATATAAAGTATTTACAAGGATTTTTTCAGCTAATTTTTATAGAGATTTAATCGTCTTGGTTTAATCACATCAATAATACCCAAGTATAGAACAGGGCCGTGGCTTTAACTAATTATTTATCAAATTAATTTGTTGAGCCAGGTATTACGTCATAATCGCAATCGCGTACTGATTTCACCTATGCAACTAAAATTAAAAAAAAAAAAATAAACGTATGATAAATAAAAAAAAGCAAGCGGCTTTATTCTCTTTCTTGCGAACGCTTTAAGCCTGCGACCCACGATGTTCTTCGTAATATAGATCGAGCATGCGAGCACCGTAACAATTTGACGCTTCGGTTTCCAAATTACGATTCGTTGATCTGGTGTTCGCATGTAATCGAAAATTTCATCATTATTGCGCAATACATTGACACATGTTGTCTGCACAAGAATTCATAATCTCTTGTCCATACAAGTCGCAGGAATCAACTAGTGGTCAGTTCCTCGAGACTCTGTAACCTGCGTTTTACATAGACCGAGCGTAACGCATGCGTTGTGCCTTCAACGTATGTTACGAAGTTAATAAGAACGGATCAGTCGTGAGAAAAGCATCGTGTGTCTCGGTTTTTATATTCGCTCACTTTTAGACAGATTTTTTTTTTTTTATAGTAGCTTTTAATGAGTATTTTGACAAAAGAGTAGCGATAGACTGAAATTCGCTCGAAAGAAGAACTGAAAGAGAAAATCTACACAAATGTCTTTTAATATTATAATTAATAATTATAATTATAATAGCTATACAATGAAAAGATAAGTTTTGTACGTATGATAAAATTGAAATCTTGTCAATTTGTACGCACAAAATAAATTTTACAACGCATCATTTTAAAGAGCAACATGTACAATTTCCATAAATTTAATTAATTTTCACCTTTCGTAATTTCAAGTGAGAGAAACACATATTACATAATAAATCTATCTTAACTATATTAAACTACCAGCGGGTAGTTAATAAAACGTATCAAACAGTATATATGTAGCACATTTTCGTGCAATATATGAACATTTCAGCAAACCTCTATCTTTTTAGTCATACAATCACAAGAATAGTTTGGTCTTTTTACATCAAATTCATACATTCCCTTTGTCAATTTATTGCATATCTGTATAAACGATATAACAGATAAACCTTTGTGTGTCATAAAAAAAACAAAAAAAGAAAAAAACGAACTCGTAAAACGAAGCCAATATGAAACGAAAGTAACAGAAAATCAGAAACCTGCTGTTACTTGGATAACCTAAACGAAAATGAAGATTTTTCTAACTTGCGCATTTTCAGTCTAGAAGCTTAGCCACGGCACCTTCCCATTTTAACTTCCATTTCTCTCTCTCTCTCTCTTTCTCTCTCTCTCACGCATACTTTTCCTTTCTGTTTACTTAAATATAAAAATACATAGCCAGTCTATACATAAAGCGTGCAAAGTGGCACAGTAAACTGAGTTGTCAGATGTCCTGGATGGTTAACTACCGCTCTCGCTGATTGTCGGCGGTTCCGCATCGTCGTGGAGATTACTCGTTTTATTACTTGACACAGGTATACCTGAGGTTTTTGGCAGCAAATTGGTTGCGTTATCACTATTGGATGTTGTGGCGTTGCACACGGAATTGTCGAAGTGTTGCAAACATGGAAATTCCGGATCAGGCAGCAATAAAGTAGTTTGAGTAGGAAGATTAGTTAACGACACTATTCCCGGTGTCATTATTTGCTTGTTGAAATATCTCCTCAATGCCTCTTCAATTAAATTGGCTATTTTATCACGATCGTTCTGCAATACAGTCGTTGCGTCTTGAAGAAAGTTGTCACAGAAACAAGATGCGACATGCATACAAAAAAAAAAATAATAATAATTTACCTCATTAATAAAACCAAAATGTACTAGTTCCTGCGCGAGAAGCATCGAAGTATCCGTTTGGCTCACAGGACATGTCAATTGTCTATTCATTTTGTCATCCATTCGTAACAATATTGTCATCTGTAAAACATAAAATGTAAAAAAAAAAAAAATTGTTTTCAAGTTGTTTCCTTAATATTTCATTCGCCACACTCACAAGTAATTCATTACTATCTTCTCTAGGCTTAACATTACACATCATATTAACTACTCGTCTTGACTCCACATCCACAGGTTCAGGCGTAACAGATTTAACCGATTCCGTTACTTCGGGCGATATCGCTCTCGGTCGAGCAGGTGGAGGTAATTTCGCCATAAATGCGGTTAATGGATATATTCCATATCTATAGCAAGATAAAATTACTCTTGTTATACAAACGTGTATAACTTTTCGGCCCGGATTTTATTTTTGTTTATATATATATAAACTCACGTTATATATATATACACAAAAAAAACATATAAATAAAAAACTAAAAGAATAAAAAATCTAACGACAAAAATGTGATATACTCACTTTACATCTTCAACAAATTTCTCTAACTTTTCTGTAACGGGAATATCACTCAACCGTATTTGTTGCGGCAGCATTCCTTGATATTTTACTTCGGCGACTACGGTATCTGGCCCATATAGCCTTTGCAACACTTCATCCGTGATTGTTTCCGAGATGTTAGCTGTGAAAAATTGATAAATTATCATACATCATGCATCACGCTCATTTATGTGTACTGCGTCACAAAGTATAAATGTGGAAGTCGTTCAACTTACTAGCTGAATTGACCAACGCGTGTGCTGCGAGTAACTTGAGAGAATGCACTTCGAAAAGAACGGGATGAAACAGCAACTCTCTCGCACTCGGTCTACTAAGCGGGTCCACCTGAAGACATTTACGAATAAAATCTTTTTGTTGAACATCATCTAAAGATTCTATTGTCTTCCGGATGTTCTCTTCGGTAACGACTGTACCCGTATCACCATTTCCCTGGATTTCCAACGCGGCCATCTCGAGAGCGCACATCCCGAACGAATAAATATCAATGGCCGGTGTAACGGAATCTTAAAAAAAGCAAGAAACACAGTTCGTACAAATTACGTAATGTTCAGAGTTGAATATAATCCGCGCGTTTGACGAGAAACAGGATACTATGTTGTACTTACTTCCATATTCTGGAGCCACAAAATGCATGTTTTTCATGTTCGTTCTACAAGTTTTAATGTGGTGATGAATCGCATCTGGCGCAACTGTAATTAAAATATTGCGAACTTTTTTTTTTTTTTAAACTGTTCTGCTTCAGAGAAAAAAGAAAAAGCATCAACATAAAAATAATGCATTAACATAAAAGTCAACGTGTTTAGAAAACTTTTGCTTGTTGAGCAACTATTAGAATTACGCGTGGTAACAGCAGATCAAAATACACATTCTAGTAATCGATATGTCGAGATGCATATTTAAATACACACACACACACTACTCATTCTGTCTGCTGCCTAGAACAAATATACTTTATACGAACGAATGGACTTTTTCGTAAAAAATTGCGTTTTGAATAAAACCTTTTTCTACGAGTAACTTGAGCCCTCATACAATAATTCTCGCATATAAACGTGTGAAAGTATCTATGAAAGATAAATTACGCTCGTTTTCTAGACAATACACATTGTATACAAATAAATCGTTATTTCGTTCAAATCGATCACTTCACTATCTTAGTCGCTTATCTTACACAGATCGTAGTTTTGATACGCAGAATCACTTTCTCGATTGAGGATAAATAGGAAAGGGTATTATATTTCCTGAAAACATCTTCGAGACATCGTATGTGATCGGGGATTACGAAGTAGGAAAAAACGAAAAAAAAAAAAAAAAAAAAACTTGCATGTATTAAAATACAATGAAAATTATACGTGCGCTGAGAATAATGTGAGAAGGACAAAGAGATACGCACTTTGTCCTTCTGAGTTAAAATACGCTTAATAATTAGAAGAAGTAGCGCAACATTAGAGCGGCACTAACAAGAAATAAAAATTAATTTTTATCATCCGTACACATTCATAAAATGGAACTACTTATAACTAATATGGAAGTTTACCTCTCTCTGCCTAATTTACTTAGCTGGCAATAGTTGATGACAATCTGCCAAATGATTTTTTCTTGGAAATTCTCACACACACCATCTGTGACAACTACATCGAACACCGATGTTGATGGATTTATCCCTCCGGATGGACGAAAGTACGAATTTTGTACTTCCTCTCTTTCTCTCTCTTTGTTTTTCTCTCTCTTTCTTTCTTTCTCGTCAAAGGCTTTGCTGTGTTTTTTTCATTATCTAGATTAGCCTATTTGCTATAATTAAAAATGAGGACTCAAGTTACTCCTAATATGAAAAAGCGGTTTAAACACAATCTTTCTAGTGTGGACTCATGTTACTAACATTATACTATAGAAAACATGTTATGATCCAGCTAGAACGTAATATGTACAGATTGTACATAGTATGTACAATATGTTTTTTTTAACATCTTTAAATTAAATATAATTCATCGCAGAAAACCCGCATTTTTTTCCAGTCGCAATATATATATATACGCTAAAGAATGTTGAAACAATTTAGATATTTACAAATAATTAGCAAACATAAACTAGATAGTAATGAGAATATTTCGATAAAAAAAGAATATTTCAATTTCGCAATCTATTTCGCCTGTACGTGTAGACTTTACGTACAGACTGTAAAAAGAAGTTCAGGACATAGAAAGTTAGTAGTACTCATCAAACTAAGTAAATAAAGTCTATCATTAGCGTATATTACATTATACGTTCAATTTGGAATACCACGCGTCCTTTGTCTATTGAACTTCTTTTTCTCAAATACCCTGTATAAATAAAACATATGATAAGAACATTACTAGTTTCAAAGTCACTAGTTTCTTTGTATTCCTTCAGTCAATTAAATGTTCCAATAAAAAAAAAAAAAAAAAAAAAAAACAAAGCTTTTGATAATATTTTGCTGATTATAAATATTTCACTCAAAAAGTTCTTACCTATATCTTCTGATAACTCTGTGAAGAATACAAGTATTTCGTACAAATAGTTAATTTCACTTGGCAAACAACCGAGTCCATCGTGAGACACAATACAGTTGGTATACATATATTTTCATTATTAAAAAGTAAAGTTTGAGATTATTAGGCGTAATTATATTATTTAGATATGATGCTGCATATTATCTGTGTGATTACGTCAACGTGACAAACATACCTTTATATATAATATACATTTTTGTAGGCAAAAATTTATTCTATTTTTTGTTTTTTAATTAGTACTTACCTGAGCCAATTTTTACAAGTCCGTTATGTTGAATAAATATAGTGTCGCAGGTAAGATTTCCATGGATAATAGGAGGTGAGCAGGAATGCAAATAACTGAAATATTATAAATGCAATGTTGTATACAAGAGTTAAGAATATAAACGTGCCACAGACGTTGTACGTACATAGTTTCGTAAACCTACCTGAGCGCAGAAAGTATTTGCGTACACCATCGTTTCCATGCTTGTAGAGGCAACTTTTTCACATTGCGTTTTGTTCTCTTTAGGAACTGTTTTAGAGATCCGGATGACATATATTCTGTTATAAATATAACCTGAGAAATGGCATGAGAAAAAAAGATTTACAACACACTGCACCTATACACAAATAGATGCAAAAGAATTCTGTGAAAATGCGAAAACATGAAAAATGAGTTAATTGACTTACTCGGGGTTTGTCATTATGGGTGTCTGTCCAATACCTATGAAATTTAACAATGTTAGCGTGCTCCAATTGTGTGAGGTTCTCAAAAACAAGCTGTATTTTTTCTTCTTGGGACTTGAAATTTTTTCTTTCCGAAAATTGCACTTCATTCCATACAACTTCGACACCTTCTTCTGTGTCCATTGCCAGATAGGCGCAGTCAATTCCAGGAACATCTCGTTGTTCCACCTACGAAGCAGAATAAATAGACATTTATATTTTATATAATCTTCCTACATCTCTTTTGTCTAACCAAAACACTGTAAAAGCTACAAAATTAATTGCTATAGAAATTTATGAACACTTAGGACGTATAACACTTGGCAACGTTACTATCGACGTAGCCAGCTGTTACTCAAAATTTTGAGAATATCACTCAACTACGCATTTTAGAAGTATATAAATGCGCATAAATATGCTTTAAATATATGGTAAACACATTGTAGACTGACTGAGCAAGTTCATTGGATACGATCTATAGGTTTATATAATGGCTCGTTTTACTGTAATCATCCATTTTAAAGTACTAAAGTGGCGTTTGAAACGACTTTAATGCCTATTTACTATTACATGAATGTGACCTTGTGAGGAATTTGGAGAGGGAAGATTTCATTTAGAAAGGTTTGCCACATCAGACATTAGTGATAATAGTGATGAACTTGCTCATAAAAGTGTAATATATGCAAATTGTTATTGTCTTCATTCTCGGGTCGTTACTACTTCTCTGTCACACACAGGGTAGGTCTATTTGAAAAAACAAAAAAAAAAGAAAACAAATTAAACTAACTACTGCTCAACGCACAAGATACAAGACATGAAACTTATTCTATCTCTTTTCTCCCTTCACAAGGTACATACTTCCATTTCAGCTATTTCGTTTTCGGTTCCTCTCGTTGATCCAAAGTTAGTACCTTCTGCTAATGTGGATTTGGAACCTACATATACCTGAAATCGGTACATGTACCATCATTAATGTAAAGTACGACACACGTATACAAATAAATATATACATTTATGTACATATTTATTACGTGCAAACGGTACATCTTTTATAAAATTTACATATATTTAAAAAAAAAGAATATTAGTTTTATATATATAGTAGAAAAAAAAAAATTAAGATTGTAATGAAAATATAATATTAGCATAGCATTAAGTGATAATAAGAGATTGTTATAATAAAAACTTATGTCTATTATTGACATAAGTATAATTTAAAAATACAAGACACATGTGTGCCAACACTATATAAAAAATAAATGCAAAAAATTAAAAAATAAATAACAAAGTCACAATTAAAAATATAACAAACAAAAATGACTTTAAAATTATCATGTGTAAAAGAAAACAAAATTTGTATTACTTTCACATGAAGAAGCAGTAGAAATTATTAGTGAAGATAAACATGTGATCGAAATAAATTTTTGATTTATGTGTTAGATAAAATACAGCGTCACAGTGCAGAATCTATTTTTAAGATAAAATATGAATGAGCCTAATATTGGTAAGATGTTTGTGCCAAGAATTTGGTATGAGTTGCAAGCAGATGAAGCGTGCCGAATAATGAGAGAAATGCAATAATTAAAAGAGAATATTTTTGTTAAGCAAAAAAAAACAAAAAAAGCAAATCTTTGATTAATCCAAAAGCTTTTTGCACTGGAACCAATTGTATAAACATGTCCATCTGTATAAATGTAACTTGTGTGAAATAAGTTGTTCCAATAATTGCTATAACACATTTGAACAAAGGCAGTGAATTTTTTCTAGTTAACTCTGCATTGTTTTAAATTGAGATATAAATTAAAGTATATAATTAAGTAATTAAGAGTAATATATATATATATATATATATATATATATATGTATATGAAATATCTCACAGTAAATCTTTAAAGAGAACGTATTCCAATTTTATCATGACGCATCTAAATACCTAAAAGTTGTGTTGTATAATAATTGCAGTTTGTTTTTGAGCACACATTGTGATCTAATGAAGTAAAGTAGATTATGTTGTCTCTGATGCTTCACTATTCTTTTATTTCTGAGAAGCAACAGAGTTGTGCTTTGGAATAATGAGTTTACTGTTATCAAGTTTTTAATTAATATTTCAATTATTGTTGTTGTACACTGAAATAGATTAAAAAAAAAAAAAGAAGTTGAAACGTTTGTACAAGATTTTATATTCAATACAAAAACACACAAGTACAATCTGTGTTTTGGCCCGCATCTATCCTGATACTTTGTTTAATCTTCTCACAAGCTTGATCAATTGTTGCTCTTACTGTGTTAAATCGCATTTTGCTCTGTATTTATTTATTTTGTCGCTACAAATTATATAATAACCACGTGATACGTTGGAGAGCGTCAACAACACAGCATCACACATACATAGAATACAAATTTGAATTTTTTCTTGTAACAATTGCACAAGCTTGAAATTCTAGAGAAAGCTGTTTTTATATAGAAACTACCTCAAATAAATCAGAGTCTATACAACAATTTCTATAGTTTCGCAACAATACAGTTTCGAACAATAAAATCTTCACGGTATAACACGGCATTGGTCCCAAAAAGTTCAGGTTGATTAGCAAACATACAAAAGCTGAAAACTCATCTCTAACAAAGAGGTTTAAAAAGGAATAGAATAAATTTTCCTTTTCGGATCTCTTTCGAACTTTCTCTCGAAATTGTAGAAAATTGCAGCTTCGAAGTAAAGAAAAAGGTGAACGAAAAAAAAGCATCGCGCGCTCTGTAGCAACGGAAGCATGGGAAATGTGAGCGAGAGCGAAACACAGGACAACGACGAACAAGTGAGAATAATAAATTGAAAGAGAAATACACACCTCTTCCCGGCGTTTAAGCCACCGCCCGCACGGGCTCTCTTCCAGGATCTCGCTCTCATCCTCGGAATCCTCACCACTTTCCCGCGGTGACTTGTGCTCTGGGTCCGTACTGGAGCGGCTCCCGGGCATCACACGTGTTTAGTTAGAAAGGCAGCAGCGAACAGCAGGCCAAAACTCATCGGTGACGACGACGTTTTTTAATTCTCACGGCTCTCTCAGTCCCGCATTTGGTCTCTACCGATGATCACAACCGGCGACGTACTCCGACTCGTGGGTGATAGCGTGCAAAAACAGCAGCGGCAGCGTCTGCGTCGTTGATGTCGGCGACGGCGGCAGTAACAACACAACAATAACAACAACGTCGCAAATGATGCGTGAACGTTACTCGTGCGTAATAACACGCGTACAGGGTAGGTATATAGGTATACTACGTGCTCTCCGCTCGCACTGCACTCAAGTGACACATGCAAGCACACACACAGCACGCCCGCTCGTCTCCAACTAAGCTCGGGCCCGGGAGCGACGATATTTCTGATCTTACGCGACGAACGCGCGCTACTCGACGCTACTCGGCTTCGCTCAAGAACGCGTCGTTCCGCTGAACATCGCGCTGGCCGCCCGCGTATCGCACTGTCAAAATAAAACCTCCCTATTGCGAGCGAAACTGCTTCGACGTGACACACACTGCTCTGGTACAACTCATTTTCGCTCTGTCTTTGCTCACGTCGCCCACCCCGATCGTCCAGTGCTGGCGCACGCTTCTTAGTCGCGATCGTCGCGCCACCTTGCGGCCAACCGACCGCGACAACGCCCTTGACGAGAAACGCGCACGAGTCAGACGCACAGCGGAGGATTGGTCGTCACCGTGTTGTCCGAGCGATTGACCAATCGGGATTTCGGTGATCGCGACTGCGCCCAACGGACTCAACTAATAGCATCGTTTCCCGATCGCTGGGATTCGCCAATCACAATTCAGACTCAACGATCGGGTTACCGGAACTTCTGGCCGCTGTTAACTTCTGGCTCTCTGTTATCACGTATATGTGATTTTGTTGGTGTTGACATATCTCGTAGGTCCAAGAGCCACAAGCGCACCGAACCAAACCGTTGACATATCTTTTTTTTATCTGATATATTTGATTTCTTTTTTTTTTGGTCATTACAAACGGGTGGATGAAACGGATTAACGATTACTGATAAAAGGTAAACGATCTTGACTGTGGTATTGATATCCTTGTTTGAAAGCCACACGCGTGTAACGCGCACGTACCGCGTCTCTAGCAGACGGGAATTGAAAAAAAAATCTCATTATCTTGCAATTGTAATAGGTATGCATATTGCGCAATAAAAAAAATGATTTTCTTTAGATACCCTTTGACTCTGACGTATCGTTAAATAAATTTTATGCGAAAAATATTGATAAACATTTTACGCATCAAACATACTGTGTACACATGTACACGTGTGTGTGTACAAGGAAATTCATTTGCGACTTCATTAAATGTCAGTCTTATTCTACTATTCACGTTTATCTTTTCTTGATTCAAGTTTCTACTGTGAATGGCGTATGAGTATTAATGGCCTCCTAGCCGTTACAAAACCGAACCGAATCGGTACACAAGGAAGTTCGATAAGCTGATAGCAACGTGAATGTTCAAGCATCTGTATCGCGCTTGCTCGTGATTGTTTTTATATTGTAACTATATAATTGTAGTATCTTATAGTTTTACGAAGTTACGTACGATACGTACGTGTGTAAGTTTTGAAATGGCATACATGAATACGTTGCCCGTGTTAGAAGGAGCGAGAGTAATTGTTATAGATGAAGGTTAGTTGCGTTCATTAATTTTCATTGATTTTCACGTACATTTTACATAAGATAAAAAAACAAACATTTATTCTGACGTTTTGAAGGATTAGATGCAATGTACGCGAGAACACTGATAGTCGGATGGTTGCGCATGTGGCAGGAAAAAAATCCAAATCACAGTGTTGACTTGTTATCATTTTCTGACCCGCAACTTTGGGACGTGGAATCGGAGCTGTTTACATCTAAGAATGTTTGCTTACACAATTATTACAGTCTTGACGTCAATACAATTGTAAACAAAGATGCGGAGAATCTTCAGTACATACTGAAGACTATCAAATTAAAGCCACAAAATACAGTCATTGTTGACTGTTTGAGCTCCCTGGTACTGTACAACGGTCTGGCAAAGGCTCTGTGGTTTGTAGAGAAATTGCATAGACAAGTATCTCAAATGATTTGCATCTATCGGCGAGATTTTATCCAGAATAAGGTTGTTGCCATTGAAACTTTGGGTACAACTTACGTCAAGTTAGAGAAATTTCCTGGTATCAAACCTTCGAGAAACAATTTAATGTACATTGCACATCTGACTCATAGAAAATCAGTTGGTTCAATAATATGTCAGACAGAAGTAATACATCAAGATAGCACATCGTACGAGATCTGCACGATATCACATCGTACGTCTAAAACAGTTTCAACATCAAAAGATCGCAAAATAGAAGAAAATACGAAGCAACCTAAAATAGAGTCCACGTTTAGAATAGAAATGAGTTCTCGAGAGATGGAACAAAGGAATCAAACATCATTACCTTATATAATAAATGCAACAAATAATACAGCAAATAACAAAACAACGCCTAAAATACTTTATCAGCCTGATGAGGAAGATGACATAGACGAAGATGATCCTGATAATGATTTGTATCTTTAATAATTCTCTAGTACGAATAGGTTACGTGTATAAAATAATATATATTTTATATAAAAAAATAAATACAAGACTGTTTTATAAATTTTATTGCCGTCTATACTTTTTTTTAAATAGGACTTGAAAACAATTTAACACAATTAAACCAAATAACGTGTTTTCAATATGTTTAACATACGGTGCTGAGGGAGAAATAGATTTTACATAATACTGGTAAGAAATTGCACATTTTCGTATAATATTGTCGTGTATTTATTACTCATCAGTATATGTACATATGTAAAGATTTGCTTTAACAAAATATAACTGATAAAAAAGTTCAAAATGTAAGGACAAACAGGGCTAATACAAGCTACACCTGGATATTTTTGATGAATATAAAAAAGTTCGCAATTAATAGATCAAATAAATTGTGAAATGTATAGACAATTCTTACATGCATTATTTTTTTCATACATATATATATATATAAACATTTATCATTATAATTCATAATATAACTTGCATATAATCAATATTTTAATAGGCACACTTCAAACATTGATACTAAAATAGTTATTTTTACGAAATATTCATAAATTGAATAAATTTGTATAATTAGTCATACATTTTTTTGTAATCATATCAGACAATTTTTTTTTCTATTATTATCAAATCTTTAAAGGAAACGGTAACATTTTATCTACAAAACTATAGTGTATACTTGTAACACAGTCTCTAATTTGGTCTGTAAAATTATATGTAAAAGAGAAGTAAGCTGAATCTGAAATACTGATGCTGTCTCTCACAAAATAAATTATATATACATCATTCCGTGCTATGTAAATTGTGCTGCATTTTCTTTAATATAAAGAATAGAATTATTTCGGTAACTAATATTTTACATTTACATTAATATTTTTCTAGAAAATACATTTGAATGTTTCCTAAATCACACATAAAAAAACACAAACAAGTAAAAACATATCGTAAAATGATTGTGCAAAGTATCGTTAATTAATTTTAGATGTGTTTTCTTTCTGTCGCTTCGCTCTCTGATTTTGAACATATATAATACACAATTATATAATTTTATTATATAATATAATTATATAATAAACTTATATGTTATATAATTATAATAATTATAATTTTACTTATATAATTTTATTAATAATATAATTGTATTCTCTATTATTTTTGTTTCTTGTCAAGAGAAAGAAAAATACACATATATATGTATACATTCGAATAATAATTTCAAAAAAACATTTGAAAAATTTTACTATGCGTTAAATGTATATAGTAGATTTTGGTCATAGAAGTGATGCGTACCGTCGACGTGTTGCAGAACTCTGCTCTCCAGCAAGCAACGACCATATCGCACAGCTTCCTCCCGACTGTCGACAACACCTACTTGAAGCAGCCAGTTGACCAAATCTGTTCCCGAGAATACTTGGTTGTACATCTTCAGCAATCGCCTGCGGCACACAGATATACGTGCCCGACATGCGTCTAAATAACATTGGTTAAACTGTTCCCGAATCGCTCTTACTTCCGGACTGAGCGCGTCTTCGCAAGGAAGCTGTATTTCTTTTCCTGTTATACCAAATGATATCGAACATTCATCAATCGGTAAGAGAAATACATATCTTATTATAAAAATTTCATACATATAAAATATGTATTATGTAACTTGTGCGCGTTATTCGCAAATAAATAAATTTTAAAAGATCGTACCAGAACGCCATTTTCTACACAAATGTCGCAGCCAACATCCCAATTTACCCAAACTAGGGTCCAAGCCAAATATTGCGAATGCTATTAGCGATTGTCCAAAATTCAAAGATACGTCTAGGAAAGCGAGTTCGGCGTAAATGCCAGTTAATTCTTCCATTATTAACATTCCCACGGATATTGATAATCCCTGTAACAAATCCATATTCGTCTCTTATTTTGCAATCTTAATAATATTCGCGAACGTAAAGAGATAATAATTTACGCACAATCAGCATGGAACATGACAACAAAATAAGGAATACAAGATGTCGCAAGATCTGAGGATCATTGTTTACGTCACTTGTCTCATTTTCTTCATCACAGTTATTTCTCTCCCCAGTAGCTCTGCATATACCGTTCGAACAGCCACTTGGAAATTCACAGCCAATCCTAGAAATATTTATTTTGATGTTAATTCGCATATTTTTTCTATTTACATGCGATTTCTATTTCCAATTGACTCACATAGGCCCATTAATTAATGGAGACACTAAATCTTCCACATCTATCACATTTCTTTCATTATTTTCATTCCTTTCATTACTTTCGTTCCTTTCATTACTTTCGTTCCTTTCATTACTTTCATTCATAGAATTCTCTACGCTATCCTCGCGATGCTCATCCGACATGTGCCTTCTTTGATATCTCTGTTGCAAAACCAAGCAACCCAATGTCACTGCACAGATGTAAAGTAGTTATCAATTTGTAAAATAGTTGCCACCTTGTTAAAGACGGAGATCTTAAAGATCTTGGAAAGATATAATGCTTACACCATTTTTCATACATACCTATGAAACAAAATATTAATATGAACGAAGATATAGCAGCTTGAAGCCTGCCTAATTGGAAATTTGGATTCTTGAAATCAGACGGTTTCGACGTCTTGGTAGTACACATTAATATCACCATTAGAGACGGCACTCTGTAAATTAAACAGATAATGTACAAAAATATATCGAGCAGAAAAATTTGAAACAAATTATCGTAAAAAGGCATGTATTCTTCGTACCCCCATCCGATAAGATAAAACCATTTTTGTAGCCTTTCAACGAATGACAACGAGCGCGAACTCAGAAACAATAACGTTGCTGCAATAGCGGCTGTCCATACTCGGCTCGCATATACGCCAGTAGTAATCATGATAAACTGAACATACCTATAAAAAACCGTGTTAAAAGTTTATTTGTTCAACAAGAGTTTGCATTATCAAGATTAATTATACATGTCGAATTGTAATTACCACAATACTGTTTCCTGATTAAGAGTCGGATTACATTTTGACCACATTATCACGCCAATTGCGGTCAAGAGCTGAAAGATGCGTGAAAAAAAAAATACCGTTCAAGTATCGGCACGTGCAATATTAAACCGAATAATAACGCGTTTCTTAAATATCTTAGATACATACCTGTGCTATTATGAGGCACAGAGTGCATCGATGAGTGACCTGTCTGTATCTTTTTCGTCCAAAACCGAGAAAACATAGTAGCAGCCAAATACAAGCTGCCGCTGACGCAACGCTCATGTCGAAAGAAAAGATATTCAATTGTCGTGCATAATTAACCGGTGTAATACCTGCGCGAACCGCGCTGATCACTTTGGCCGAGACGAACATGAGCGGAGCGGAAAGGAACGTACAAGCTACCATCGCTGACGCGATCAAGTCGATGTCGAGATTATATCGCAGAGTGAAAATAAATAGAGCCGGTGCGGTCGGAATGGTGCCGTACAGAAAGCCGTACGTGCTCAAATCCGTGGTTTCTGTGACATTACCTCCGGCGTTCAAGAGAATGATGGATTCCCTTATGACTAGAGGTAGAACCAGCAACTTCACCGAGATCAATATAGTTGGTATGACTAGTGCTGTGCCCTTCAGTTTGTGCACTTTTCCCACCATCATCAAACCGAGGAGAAACAGTGCGCTAGCCGAGAACGCGTTACCGAGAACATCGAGAATCGAGGCGAGCAAACGCGGCACATTGTGACTGAAGATGAAATTTCCTACAATACCCAGAACCGTCATGAACAGCACCGGATTCAGCAGAACGCCTTTCATTACGGAGCAAACCATGTCTCTGCAGTTCATGTGCTCCTCCGCGCGTCGCTTGCCTACTTCCAGAAGCACGAAGCCAATCGGATTTAAAATAGCTAACGATATAGGTGCCATCAGATAGAGATACGCTGAGTACTCCGGATGCGTTTTCCCATACAAGGCATCGACTGAAATGACAATGTAAGTACCGTTAACACAACTAATAATCTAAAAGAATATGAAGTCGCGCGTATAACAATTTCATTGCTCTTACTCATTGGGTATCCAATAGCGAAATCATTGCTTTGAGTGGTGAATATTGCGAAGAGCGCAGCTCGTCCGGGATTTGATGGTTTTTTAATCACTATCGAAACTAGAAGAACCGTAATGAAGATACAGCTCTTGGCAAATAACACGGCGAGCAAAAATTTCCAGTTGACCAGTGTAAAGTCAAGCTTTGCCAACGACATAAAGATCAAAGAGGGTAAGGCAAAAGTACCAACAAATGTGTTAATACCACTTGCCTCGGATCTTGTTATCATCTCAAATCTCCCTGCTACGTATCTAAGCAAAATTACATATTACTGTTATATATTTTTATTTGTTGATAACATGCAAAAAAATACGAGGTCTTTAAAAAACTAATTTAAGCATATTAAAATTTTTAAGTAAGTCTCACTCCACTGGTTTTTTTTTTTTCTTACCCGCATAGTATAATACCAAAACATTGTATCAGTGCAAGATACAGATTATCTGTAGGTTCATCTGCCATTTCCGTAAAGTAACTTGCATTTGATGATAAAGATGTTGACAAAATATTTTCTTGATCAGTCTGAAAAAAAAAAAAAATATCTAATATTAGTTTACGACGAATGCAATCTTTATTTCGCATTTGTGATTTATGTACCATTTTTTTTGTGATATAAACAGAATTATCATCTCTCTAATTGGTGTTGTAAAATAGGATTTTTTTGCATGTCAATAAATTTATATACAATGTTGTTTGTTTTTCTTGTGTATGTACATTTTGATCAAATATTCGCGAAGAACATGATGACAAGTTACAAGTCACAACCTGCAATCAAAAGTGTTCACAGTTATATACTCTCGCACAATGCACATTACATATAAATTTCAATTTCTTGTATATTTATATTGTTGTATTTTTTTCAGCTGTTTTTAACATATGTTCGGGAGAAAACTAAACAAGATATTGCGCGATATTTAGTATCGATATCAAACGTAAGGAGAAAAAGAGGCTTTGATAACGTCGGAGTGTACTTTGTTACTTGCAACAAAGAGCAACGTGTGATGTATCAGCATTTTAGACAATCACCGGCGTAACGAATATTTCGGCGATTCTAACATACGCAGGTATGATTCGCGGTATTTGTTTGCAATTACCTATAAAAGCGTCACTATTAATCATATTGGTCGATCGGAATACACATTTCTGCTCTCCGGAAATATTTAAGTGCACCGATGTAATGGGAAACTCTTGGAACATCGGTTCAAAATTTGATGAAAATATGAACGGACTGTCGGTCGCGCTACAAGAAGGAACGACGTCCGGCATAGCGCAAACCGTTCCTGTCACGCACACGACGAGAGAGATTTTCGCGTATCTGCGCAGCCGCGAATAATCAATGACATTAAATGACAAAGTGTGCGGAAAGCGCGACAATTGATTCCTCGTATCGCATGACTCTTAAATTGTTCTGACAGCTCGAGTTTACTAATGTCAATCACTTAAGTTGTAAAAAAAATACAGTCTCTTACAAAGTTTTCAAATTAAAAATTTAGTTAAATATGAATCACGTTAAATACGTGACAAACGTTAAATAGTGTTAAAGTTTTGTTATTTGTATTTAAGCTGTCGATGTATCAGCAATATTATAACATTGGCTTGGATTGTGCAAGCGATTGATTGAATCGATATGTATTTTTTAGAATCTTCAACTTGAACAATAAACGAGATTATAGAATTATACAAATTATCTCAGGGAAAATTCGTTGTTTAATGATAACAGACATTAAATAAATATATTTTTATTCTATTTTATTCGTTATAATGTGAATAATTATATATAGACATACATATATAACAAATAAGATATATTAAATTAAAATTGTTTTAATTAATTGTTTGAACGAGAGAAAGAATTTTTTAATTATGAATTTCTCGCAAACACGTGGCCATTAAATAAGAAAAAATTATTTTGCCATTGATTAACACATACACATGTTTTGAAACACATATGTTGCAGCATTGTTCAATTTTTGATACAAGGTTTAGTCGAGTTTTATACAAGTTTTGTAACGTGTATATGTGTGATTACTTATTTCTTTCTGATATATTTAAGATATTACTCAACAAGAATGTAACTCTATCATTAAGCAACGCGTTTTATTCAATATGCTTGCTTCAAAAGAAAGTATTTCCTGGAAAAAGTGATTCTAAAAAATCATGTTGAGCGTATGATATAGATGTATACACGGTTGACCAATTTATTATCTGCGAGTTAACGACATGTGACTGATGTGGACACATTAGATTAACGATACTGCACATTCATAAGCAAATTTGTTAACTTGTGTTGCATGCAAGAAACTGCGACAAGGAACTTGAGTCGCAATTTTATTTATCATTGAACGGTGCGATATGCAATATGCAGTATTTTTTATGCAGTTTTTTTTTTCCTTGAGCTACGTAATAAGCCAACGAGCGTTCTTTCTCTCCGTCACGCCGACGTTCGCGCTTACGCAAGCGTTTCGTATGTAATTGCGTTTCGTATGTAATCTTTACATCAAAATATCTTTCTCACTCTCTCTGATTTGACATATAACATTCTTCTTTATTCTCGTCGAATATCTAAGATTTCGCTGTTCGTAGTACAACCCACACGTATGATATGATAAGATCCAACAAAGAAGCACAAGCTTCATTTTGTACACTCGCAAAGATTAATTCTCTCTCTTTTTTTCTCACTTTTTTTTCTCTCTCTCTCTCTCTCTCTGTCAGCACACATTTTTATAATAAATGATAAAGACAACACGCGATTGCGTCATTTGTGTCATTTGTCATTTGTGAATCATACTCACTTATGCGATACGCAGATTATCAATTATTTTAAGTACAAATACCTCTTCGTTGTTCTTAGGCCCGATTTCTCCACATCTCCCGATAACTATCTGGATAAAGATACACAAAAAAAGATATACTTTATCTATTAAAGTTATTGAGAACTTATCAGAGGTGAAGAAATTTGGCTTTAAATAATGAGTGTAGATGCGTTTCTCATATAGAGACAACGAAGAAAAGATATTATATATACATATATTTTACAAATTCTTAATCATATTTATTCCACTACATTACTCTGCATCACGTTACATTAGATTTCTGTTTGTCGATGACAAATATGTATGTACAAAAAAAGGTCATATAATCTAGTAATAATTAAATATATACTCTAGCTTAGGAACATATGTATAATTTATCGCACGCGTTTTCTGTATTATTATTACATTTGTAAAAATTATAACGTCGAAAAAATGCACTAAATAATTATAGACTAGAACCACGTGCGTGTATTAATAATTTTGTTAACTCTAATACAAAGCAATGATATTAACATGATATTATTAATGTAATTCACTGCGCTGAGATAGAAAAAAATGTTGACCATAGCGAACAAAATAAATCGTCACGCGAAGCAAAGAATCTCACATCTTAAAGGATGTTTAAAAGAACGTTCTTGCGCAATGTGACAAAACAATTATGTTCTGTTTCGCTTGAAAACGCTAATACCTGCTTGCTTTGTAATAGATATATCAATGAAAAATGTATTCTACGCAGCAGACGGGAACGTGGCGATTGGTTCGTACCCAATTCTTGCGGCGTTATTGCGCCGTAGCTCTAATCGGGTCGCATATAATAATCACGTGGCCGCGTACACATATACACTACGTACGTATCGAAGCACGCATATGTAGCCGACATGTTTGAAATGTGTAGACCGTGACTCTAAAGAGACTCCAATGACGTCATAGAATCTATCCTATCCAACAGATAAAGATTATGCGAACATAGAAAAAATTTTGTTGCGCGCGTTATGTATAAGAGAATCATTATCAGTATTTTTGTTGTCATTATAGATAACATTCTGTGCGTCGTTTATAGTTTTCATCTAATCAAATTCGAGAACATACTTCCGATGTTCTTTTAAGTATCTCTTCTAGGAATTTAAGTAATGAGTCGTAAAAAAAACTCCAAGAAAAAATTTAAAAAAGCAATTTCGCGTTGTTTGTGTTCTTAAACTGTTTGCTTTATCCGTTTTCGGATATTCAATCGCCGCTCGCTTTGTATTTGCGCGCAATTGTAATATGCGGCTTGTTGCCAGTGTTGCTCAACCGCGAACGCGCGTTTTGATTCCGACGCGAAGATATGTATATCCGTGTGTGCGCGCACCGAGTTATTCATATATGAAAACTTACGCAACGCAACATACTTGGAAAGCAAACTCGTATCACGTATTCGATGTATTTTGGCACCTTCCGCGAAAAGATTGTCCATAACGTATTGACGCGACTGCGCCGTATTCCAATCAACAAGGTGGAGCGTAATCACGTATCGTTCAAGGTCTTTCGAAATAGACGCCGCAAAGACGTCCAAAGAAGGGTGGAGTCAAGCGAATGTCACCCAACACGATTGATCTACATATATGTACATTGTGCTTTTGAGCTACACGCCTCTGTGTCTCCTCATCGAAGATCGATTGGAATCAACAAGTAAATCCCGTTACTAAAAAAAAAAAAAAAAAATGAGATCCGATCATATACGCGAGACTTTGTTGGATGACTAACAAGTAAAACCTGGCTTTGTTCATTTTGCGCAGTTTTCGCACTCCTCGCTGCCGTTGATTCATTCCGCTATGCGGGAGATCAAGACCAGTCACCGTTGATCGTGACGTAGTCACACAGACGATCGATCGGGGAACATTCACCGCGCGTCTGTATTTTATTTCGCTGTGTACATATGACGCGAACAGCTGAGAAGTAATTTCAGGAGAGGCGCGACGTCAGCGTCGGCCAATCACGCTGTTGCGAAACATCGCATTCTGTTCGTTTCTAAAGAAACCTTGTATTTGCGTGCCGATATATTTCGCGTGATATCGAGCACCGTTTTCTTGGAAACTTATTTTGTAAGCTTATATATATACATATATATATATATTGTATATACACATATATACACGTCTCAGTTCCGTTTCCGTTTTTTTCCAGATAATTTATAACAAAAACTGAGCGTCGCTGTGAGACCACCGGAACTAGAGGATGAAAGATAAGAGAATCAAAGTTTGCATATGTGTGGATAGATTCGCAGGGATATACAAAGAACTCCCCAAATTAGAACACAGGCAGAGTCGACGTCTCCTCTAGTAGTGCAGTTAGACGCAAAGCCAGTTCTTGTAATTAAAAGTATGCCAGTAATTAATTTTTATATGTACATCACAAAGCGATTCTTCCTTCGCGTGAAGAGTCTCGTTTCTCCTCTATTTCGTAACAACGTGACCTCATTTTTCTAAACTTCTTTCCTGTTTTTTTTTTTTTTTTTTTTCTTCTTCTATTTGCACTTTATCACTTGTCGTACAAAAATACGCAAATACGTAGTCAGCTATTTTGCTCAATGCTCTAATGTAAATATGGATTTGCACAATTTTGCGCGCGCGTGAACCGATGTTTATTCGCGATTGAAGAAATTTATTTTTTTTTTTTTTGTTCATTAGTTGTTTCTCATCTTTTGTGTTGCCAAGAACCGGCAATGTGTCGGAACGTCGAAGACGAAAAGAAACTCCGTCTGATGAATTATCCTAACGACGTGCATTCTCTATAGAGAGAAATGTGCCAAAAATAAACCGCTCTTCTATGTTACCGTACAAAAGGAGGAAAAAACAACAAAATGTTTCGAGCGAGTGCGCGGAACGCAACAATGTGACGGAAGAGAAGTTAAGAAATGTAACGTACAAATACACACACGTGTGTCGGACACACGATCTGTCCACGTGTGAAGGCGTGTAAAAAAAAAAAAAAGAACTTTAAGCAGCAAAACGCAATAAAACGAAGCGACTAATAGCACAGTTATTCTCAACCTGTTAGACTGTGATGAGTTACTTAGCTTGCTGCTTAAGTTTTTTTTTTTTTTTTTGTGTCACGGCCTTAATAGGTACTCTATGATATACACGGAGCCTAAAAAATACGCAAGAGAGAGAAAGAGAGAGAGGGTTGAAGAGATAAGCGCGGACAGAGAAGAGAAACGTTCAGTTGCGTTATCGTGTCAGCGCGAGAGATAAATTTGTATTTTCCACATAATGCGAGAGAAAAAAAGTGCGACGAAAAAATGACGTTATCGTGATCACGTGGAGAAAACGCATATGTGTGTTGTACATATGTTAGTGTCGGTCGGCGAACGCGAGAAGAGGGACGACCGGAAGAGCGGTCACGTGGGGCAGAAAACGAGGGTCTTGGAACGTATATAATGTAGCGCTCGCGTCCCGCCTCTCAGTTCTACCTGAACTTCGGATACGTGTGTTTCCGATCAAAGCTTTCGCGAAGGGAAGGTTTTTGTTTGTTTGGTGTGCTCGTTGTATGGGTAAGTATTAAGTGTGCGAACGCGATGCTGAGCATCGAATTTTTTTTTTTTTTGTATTGATGGTTTTTATTGCGGTTTGTTGCACTTACGGCCGATAAAAAAAAAAAAAGAACGAACATGTTTCGCTTTCACAAGTTGTTGAAAATTTATTCGTCGACCGAATTTTCTCATGACTTGTCCTTGAAAATTGAATTTTGTATGACTCATTGATGACACATTCTGGTGTGCGATAATAACGAACAAATTCGTGCCATTCGATTCCACGTCGCGAAGTGTGTAAATATATAACTGCAATTTTGTTTTTTTTTGATAGCGCGTTTTTGCGCGAGAAAATTCCTCGCTCGAGAGATTGTTTTTCCATCGCGTTTTCGCTTGTCCATCGTCCGATTGTGACACACGTTCGGTAGAGAATTATATTTCAACGTTCGTCCCTCGCGGATCGAACAGACGGAAGTCTCAGTGTTCACGCTTGTTTATCAACGATATATATCACAGTAACGGAATTTTTCACGTTAAAGGTCACGAATTGTCGCTCGGTTTTTCCGTTTGATTTTTCATCGCTCGCGATCGCGGAAAAATGTTGGCGCGACAACCAATGCGGCGCATTTAACGCGAACCAAAACGGAATCGCAAAACGTGACGACGACGAAGGTCGCCAGTAGACACGTGGCACACGTCTATCTATTTGGTCGTGTATTGATTCACCACGCGCGTCCTCTTGAGCGTGGAAATCGCCATGTTGGATACCGAGCCGAGAACAAATCCGATCCGCTTTTCCGCACTTATTTCGCAGATCGTGTCTTATGGCACCGTGCTGATCCGTGTGCTCAAATAGCAGTGGACTTACGGTAATTGCCGCTATTTATTCGAATAGTTTTTCATCCTGCGAGACGGGAGAACAAAGACACATCCGACGTTGTTGCGTAGTAGCGTTAGTTGCAGTCCGCAACAGAAATTTGTCTGCGGTATATTACGCGTCCTGTGTATCGTCAAATTTCACCTGAAACTGATACGAAATTTGTCACGCAAAGCTTTTTGCACATTCCCGAAAGTCGTTACTGTTTGAAAAATAATTTGTCTGCTCATAAATTGTATTTATAAAATGTATTAATTTATGTAAATTTTAATCAATTATGTTTGAACGCAGAGCGAGAGAAGAGTATAAAACACGGAGAGAGCCCTGTGGAGCCAATAAGCAGCTGCAGGGACGAGCATGGCTTCGTACCGACGGTTGGCCGATGGGGCAACGAATGGCCGAGTTGACTCGAGACGGCAAAGAAGTGGTGCCAGCCACAGGGGCAGGCACGCGGGCCCTGGATCAGGGGTGTTCCGCTACCCCTGCCGGTCTGGGCCCAATACGAGTCACCAGCCCTGACCGTCTCCACGGTCGAACAGTATGAGGAATTAGCAGGAAGCGTTGAACTTGAAACTCAACGTTTATTGCGCGAGCATCGCTATGATACTATTGGCAATTTCCTCAGGTATGTATATAAAATATTCAATTTTCTTGTCATTTCTCTCAATACGTTTTGTGATAAAAAATTTAATAAATAAAAATTTATAAATAATTCTAGATTCTACACGGAGTACAAAAGAAGTGGAGTAAACGCGCTTGATCAATTCTATCCCAAGTATCAGCCACTGATAACGCACGAACACCATACTTGCGTCGGTCTTGGATTTGAATTACTATATCGATTAACAGGTTTGGACAAACGATTCCCAGGAATAGCAAGTGGCCTCTATTTAGTATCTTGTGAAGAGGTGAGTTAAAAGAAACATATATAAGCATCTTTAGAGATTAATTAACATTACCTTTTGTGCGTTTACATATATAAATGTGTCATGTAGACGATTGGTGATATCGCCGGCTACGTTGGTGGTCCACCAGCAGCAGACAGTGGTGAGAAAGAACATGTACTGGTATGTTTGAGAATCGAAATCGATAAACGTCGTGGCGTCATGCTGCTAGATCCCGGTTACCATGTGGCGCGTGTTATTACTGTAATGGCCGATAAGTTATACCCTCATACAGGCTGGTTTACCCAGTCTGATGAACCGACCTGCAAGAAAGAGTACAACTATTGTCTGTGCGCTAACGATTCCGATTATGTCGAGTGGCATGAGAGACAAACTCGACCTGGTGCCTTGGAGAGGACGCAAGTCGCTCTCATTTACGTGGCAAGGCCATATTTAACTGCCATTGATGTTACTGAGCGTAGAAACTTGGTCTACAATCGCAGGAGTCTAATTGCCAGAGATACCAAGGGCCACATTATCGCTGGTATATATTTCTCCGTTACACTGGACGTGAACAACGCACACAACTTCACAGTTTTTTATCAGACAGAAAATGGGAAGAAGCGAGTCAAGATGGCGTTCAATAAGTTCCGTAGTTCGTCCAAGGTAGAGATTTAGATTATAATGTAATATAAATATGATGTAGTGGAAAGATCGTTTCTCGACACTATCCATGTCCATCAAAGTTTCATAATAAAAGTGTCTTTTGTTTCAGATAATTCTCAATGCCGAGGAAGTGGAAGTGATAAGGGAATGCGCCCGACAGCTTGACATTTCGATGGATACCTTGAAGAACATGATATCCGCGTTATCTACGGTTTTGAGCGATTCGTCATTCGTGGCGCAAGTATTGGCCATTAATTCAAGAATAAACACTCTGGCGGAAGCAAATTGACAGGAAGAAGTTACTCCATCCGATACAGCTTCGGCGCAACATTACGTTTTATTCTTTCTTTTCTTGGCTTTTATTTTGCGTTCTTTTACTAAATGACATACATATAAATCTTTGTTTATTCTTTTATCTTTTGTAGCTGTGCTTTGTGTTGTTACACATATATATTCGTATATTGGTAATTAGACGTGATGAATCGCGTATTTTTGTATGATTCACAACTTAAACGTCATGCAAAATACATAATTCAGGGCAACGGAAACACACATAGTTGTGTTTTTATACTCATAAAAATAAAAATAAAAAATTCTCTCGCTTACAATATCGCAGTTTTATGAAATTGGACAAAAGTATTTTAAAGCTAGCGTCAGACTTAAGCGCGTATTTGCAATTTGTATGAAATTCATGAATGCTGGGAGGCAAAATTATATCGATCATTCGAACTGATTCGCAATTTCAGATTTGCGAATTTTGAAACTAAGTACGCGAATGATCAATTCGTTTCGCGTTGTATTCTGTCTCGAGTTATGCTTGTACACTGTTGAATATTGGCGAAGCAATACAACAAGTCAAATTCCTTTCACATGTAATGAATTACATGCGACAAACTGCGAATCCCGAATAATCTGACGCGAAGTTTTTAAACAGATCCACAAGTTTTAATAAAAACATGATTTTAAAATGTCTAATTTTATATTCGCTTTATATTTAGACTGTGCACTTGACAAACCTAATAAAGCTGATTTTATATTTGCGATGCCTACAAGATTTGTATTATTACTTTGCTGTGTAGAGTTTATAGAGAATTTTGAATATAAGCTTTACGTTACATACGTGTATATCAGATTACATATATTTTTATCNAATACTGGGACTGAACATTTATATAGACGGATTTACATAGCAAAACAAATTATAATAAAAACGAAGTTTGTATGGGAATACAAAGGATAAGAGGTTGTATTAATTTACAATTGTTTTTTTTTATTTTTAAAACAAACATGTATAACCTCTAAATTGTAAAATCACTTAGCTTTATTTGGAAATAAATAGTCTTTATGGCCGACGAGATGCTGTATTGATAAATTGTATCTGATTTCCTCTTAATACGATCTCGATATCGTTTTTCATTAATGGATGAAATGATGTGTGCAGGACATTAAAAGTTCAAAAATATTCGGAACAAGATATCATTTATTCCCTTTACACTTNTAGATATTTTATTACATTATAGAAACTGCGGATGAATGTGTCATGTTTATCTCTGATTATATACGCTTATCATTGCACATTCAAACTACATCCTTTATATCATTAATTCTTAGAAACTAAATAAATATCAGAAGAACTTTATTTAATTTGTATAAATTATATCCACATCAATATTATCTTTCTTCAAAAAGCAGAGTTAATCCTCATTATTGTACCTNGTGTAACTTGAATCTTTTGATATATCCAATAAAAAGCAAACATCCCGCAAAATTAGGATTTACTCAAATAAAAACTGATATATTGATATACTGATACTATTTAGAAGTTACTGATACAAAAAATTTGTCTGCTATAATAGTACTGCTTCAGAGAACCTTATTTTTTAATTTCTTTTTGCATATATATGTATATATATATACATACATATAGTGAACTCCACGAAATTGTCTTGGTACTCAATGCAGATTTTTCGATTCCTTTTATAACCAAGATTCAAAGAAAAAACTTATCGGTTTTCTGTCGTGCTTCAGTATCTTCTCTGTTTATTGCCATTGAGGCAACATTTATTAACAAAAAAAATGAAATTTGTTACTTAATAACAATCATACGAGTAGTCGTATTGATGATATAACAATTATACAAATTTGTCATATTTGATCGATTTTTCCGATTAAAATGACGGCAAACATGACACATGTTACAATGTCGTGTATTATAAATATTGAATGATAAACTAAGGAGAGTTATTGTTATCTACCAGGATAACAAAAGATCTTTTTATGCCCGCCAATTGGGACCGATTAAAAGGCGAGAACAATTTCGCGAAGTTGGCTGAATAACTTAAAATCTATACACGAATCTACTTAAATGTTCATATTCAAACCTAAAAGATTTGCTACCTAAATAGTCTTTAAACTGTGAACCAATTTAATTAGTTACATCAAAAAATGATATTATATTTTTATACAATGAGAGAAGTAAAAGTAAACAATATTTAGAAAAAAAAAAATAAACCGCATAATATTTTCTTATGAGAACGTTAATGAAATTATAATAAGAACATATATTCATAGTTTCCGTTTAAGATATATTTCGTTACGTGAGGTTTCTTGTATAGTGGAAATAAAATTCGGTATACGTTACGGATAATTGTTTCAAATATTCTAGTCGTCACTATGAGATCCAGCGCGACGCTTGTTACTAAAGTTGGCTATCCAGTTTATGCTCGCGTTTTCGAGATCCAGTTGGATACGGCGCCGAAAGTTCAGCTCTCGAAGACGATGCGGTTTTCGATTTACTGTGAACAGGCGTCAAGGCGNACACGGTATTATTTACGACATCTTTACACGTAACTGTAAAATATTAGAATTTTTGATAGTCAGAATTTTAAAGTCCAAAGATGAAGCTAAAAAAGATAAAGCGCATAAATATAAGTTTTACAGCAAAAATTATTTTTGCAGAATTATAACTTAAAGTGCAAAACAGAAACAAGAAAAGAGAATGCAAGCAAAATAAATAATTCATGCTCTTGTCTTGTGAAATAAAGTCGCTGTATCTTGTTTTAGTAATTCTGACTCAAAGACAAAAAAAAAGAGGAATATACATAATACGAAACAATTGNATAATAATAAATTATCACATACACATCTAATATATCAATATATAAATAATATCTCATATATCACACACAAGTGATAGGACATGTATTTAATTTGTAAATAAAATCGTGCATCGCGCGTGACATTTTCTTCTATTTCTTCTATTAAAATAATAAAATAATACTAGATAATATTGGAGTCTCGTAAATAATTAATGTTATTTATATAAGTTTTTAATACTTATTTNACCCNAAAACCAAAACATACTATTACCAAAACATGNTATAGTATTTAGTTAAAAACCCTTTTTAAGCGAACATCCATACCGAGCGGCGCCGTTACAATAGGTTAACATGAGAAATTATATTGTATAGTTACAAAAATAAAAATAGAATTAAAATAAATAAAAACATATACAACGTAGAATACAATAAAAAGAAACGCAACGTACTTACGTTGCACAAGTGTCACTGCTGTATACTATGCTTTTTAACTTATTAATATTTGCGGCTGTACCTGTAATGCACACACAAGAGAGGTATATTCTATACCAATCTTAGCAGATTTGCTGCATTACGGATTATCAATGTTCCATATGATAAATTATGTTTAACGTATGATCATATTATAAAAGTACAGTATTGCAACAACATTAATACAGATTATAAAATATAACATTTAATGTTATACATTAAAAGAAAATGAATAATATTAAATAAATCTAGAAATATGCGTAAAATTATACAACAATATTTTGTTTGGAAAGACAAAACTACCACTAAAATATTTATAAAACAAAAATCAGTAATATTTTTAAAACATGACATAAAACCATCAATTCAGAACTGAAATAATTACTTGTATAAATAATACTTTTTGCAGTTATACATAATAAAAGGCGTCACACTTATTAATATAGTAATAAAACTATAATTACAAAGACACAGCTATAAAAAAGAGAGCTACATACATATATGTTAAACTCGCTAGTTATCAATATGTATATCTAACGAAAATACTGCGATGCATTTTGTTCTTGCAAATAAATAATGCAATTTTAAAACAGATGTGATCTCAAGTGCATAAATAAAATAAATAATAAAACAAAGTAAATACGATTTTATGTTCACAACAATGTGCTTGCATTCGTATGTGTGTTTTCGAAATATATAAAGGACCAGAAGAAATCTCATTTTATTTAACATAAAAACACCGTGCTTTACAAAAAATAATAAAAACATGACAAATTAAAAATTATAATCTTAAATGCAGCAAATGGCAATGCTAAATTCGATAGAAACTTACCTTGAAGAAGACGTATTTTTTGTCTTAGAAGACAATAAGGACCTTACAGAACGTTTAGGACGGAACCATTTACCTCTATTAGAATGTTCACTACAAAGCATATAACAACAAAAATAACATAAAACAAAAGAAACATAATAAAATGTTAAAGAAAGTTAAGGAATACTAAATATATACTAACAATTGAAAAATAACTACAGAAGAACCAACCTTTAATAAATTTTGTCTTACCATAATTATCTACTTCAATTTATCAACCAAATTTATTAAAATAATTTAAATTACTAATGTTAATATATACTTTAAGAATACATATAAAAAGTGATCATCCGAAAGTAGAAAAAGATAAAATGATTATAAAAAATTGTGTAACACCCAAATATCCATACTTTTGTAGCACGTACAGAAAAGCAATTGTGCATATTTATTTACTTAAAAGTTGCATAGAAGAAATGAGAAAGAAATAATAGTGATATGTAACAAAGCGTAGCTACATGAAGTCTTGTATTTGTCTCTGTACCTCTTATATCTATTGTGCTAGATCAACTGATCCTTTCTACATATCATACACGTCATCGAGTAAAATATTGTTAAGTCCATATAAAATTGTATAAAAAAAAAAGTGACAAATATATATGCAAATATATAAGAATATTAAAACTTATAATAAATATGTGCACACAATGTCCTGTATTGTCCGAGACAATAATAAATAAAAAAAACAGTAAAAAAAAAAACTTTTACTCGATGCTCCTACCTTTGACAAGATCTTATCTGATAACAAAAATGTATCATATACTCGATCCTAAAAAAAACTCACCTTGCAGGTTGCTCTGTGGTAGATGGTAAAGCCAATTGCCTTGGCTCTGGTCGATACCTGTTGTTATTAGCAATTGCATTTGGAGCGTTAATCGCACCAGCGCCACGTCGCGTACGTGTTTCCCATTCTTGATTAAAGCTGTCTGCCTCTTCTGAAATGCATAAGTTACAAATTTGTTCAAGTCACGAATACTTTGTATGTACTTTGTATCAGTAATTATATTATTATTAAAACCAAACAAAAATTACCTTCCTCCAAATTAATGAATTCCTGTCGTTCTTCTTCCTCACCACGCATATTTCGCTCCCTTTCGAGAATGTGCGCTCTTTCGCCAATGTGATGACCAATAGCCATTTTTCTGGTTCCGGTACGAGAATCACTCACTGTCTTCTTGGTCTCTTTTATGCCGCCGGGTGCTGTTGTTGTAGACATAGTTTCCTGATAAACCTGGGGACGTCCATCAGGGCCGCTGGACATGGTCATCACAGATTGGCTCATAAAAGAGTGACAACTCCCGTCAGAAGCCATGTTGCTCTACAGTTGCAACAATATGATCATTAGTTAAAAATTTGCTTTTACATAAATTATTAACTTGTCAACTACAATATATCCACAATTGTACTTACAAAACCAAATCGTCCAAAATTTGGGTCAAACAGTGACAATGACATATCATTTGTTCCTCTATTATGAGGCATGAGAGCATTCTGTCCCATCATTGAAAAGGGATCACCGAAGAAGGAGCTCATCATATTGTTCATTTGTCTCATAGTATGCATAGGAGGTCTGTTAATGATAAAGAAAATGTAAATTAAAATTTAGCATAAATCTATTTAAACAAATTAGTGAAAGATTAGACATTATTGAAAAAATTTTTATGTACAAAAAGTTGACAATTGTTTTATTTGAATCAATCTGTTTATACAAATTTTTTATAAAATATTGGACCAGTTTTTTTAATTTATCAATAACTTAATTGCGTTATATGAACAACTTCATACATCACCCCTAATTAAAAGTCATCCATTATGTATATGAAAAAAAAAAAAATGTCAAGCATCATACTGTTTTATACCAGCCTTACAATATATTACAAAAGTATGAAATACACACACAGACTTTTTATAGAAAAGAGGAAAAAAATAGTGTACATATACTACATACAACTACGTTTCGAAATTGTACTTTTATTACACACTTAAACAGAAACAAGCAAAATTAAATTTCTATGCAAGACAAACCGCAACTCAGACGGAATAACATATCCAAGATACATCTATAAAGAGATCCCGAGGATGTTTTTGGGATATAAAACGTCTTCTTAAATGTCCCACGAGATGTATCTCGGATGTACGCGTGAGAATTTCTGTGTCAAATAGTATACGCTGTCAACCATTGCTCTCGCGATCGCAGTCTCTGCAACGAGGACGCACACACATGCTCGTGAAAAGTTCGCGAAGCGAAAATACTTACCCAAACATATTGAAGATATCGTCATCACCCATAAACGATCCAAAGAGAGACATTTTGCTGCGTAGTCTCGGAAGTTCGTACTCAGAGATTCGAAAAATTTACGCGATCGATACGAAACAAAATTTTGTCCACGCGTCCAAGCGAAAGCAAGCCCGAATATCCCGAATACTGAAAGCGCAACGTACGAGAGCGCCGCCTATCTTGGTGGACGGAAATTTCTAGAACACTGTCCAGGTCTGATCACCGTGACGAAACAAACGTGTCTACGTCAGAGATGGTCAGAGAAGAGACTGAGAGCGGCCACGGCCAGTTTGGTTGGCACCACTTTACCACTCTGCTTGCCAGCGCCACGTCCACAGTAGTGAACATTAGCAACTACGTAGCCGTGTTCACGAGCGATTTGTCGGTAAATATCATGTGTGGACGTAGAATCTATAGACTGGTGCGCGTTCCCTACCTTTGCCAGAAAATGTCTTCAACGTTGAGAGAGACAGCTGGTGGTGATAGAAAAATAACGAGGGTGAAGAGGAATGAAAGAGATTAAAGGGCGATGGCAGGTTAGGCGGTAATGAAACAGCAGGCGAATTAGATAAGGTGATAACAGCTAAAATGTACAGTTGGTGTTGGCGCCGCTCTCACTTTTCTCTTCACATGTGTATGTAGAATTTTGCAATGCGCGTTTTCATGAAATTTTTTTAGGTATAAATTTGTGACCAATGACGGAGCAAGCTGCTTCGAATTGATTGATCAGTTTATAATCATGTTATGCGTGATAAGAAACAAAACGCAATAGGCAATCAGCATTTTGCTTGTATGGAAAAAGCAAGCGTGTTTGATATGTTGTCACGTCGCTCTCTTGTTTGTGCGATGATGACGCTTTCAGTCTGCATGAGCGCCATTACATCACCTCGTACTGAGAATCGATGTAACTTTTTTTCTAGCATGGAAACGTGAAAAGTAAACAATTTTTCTTTTTTATTGGTTTCTACATACAGAATTCGGCGTATTTCATTGATTGGATGACACAGATGCGAAGCGCACAAAATGAACATTGAAAAGATTCGCATGAAATTACATGATATCGATCACCCGAGATTTAATTGAATCTTCTCTCGGGGAAGTAAATCTGTTAAGAGAGAGAGAGACGCGACATCTGTAAACAAGGGTAAATGGATAATTGGCAAAATGGCGACGGAAAAATTAATCGTTAGACGAAAGAAAGATTTCGTCAAGGAGAATATCATTCACGCGAAACACTTGCATCCGGCGGAACCCAGACAGCGATCGGTCGATACACGTCGTGGCGACACATATGATTTAAGGAAGAGCGGATTGCTTCCAATTTACGTACACAAAAAAGTACGAATATATATATATTATACAAACAATTGTTTTAGTATTACTGCTATATGTCGAGTTTTAATTTTCTATACACGTTACTTCAGATTTACGGAAAAGTACCGAAATGCGTAAAGATCGTTGCGAGACCCGACGTAGAAACAAGCGAGAAACGTGACGAAGACGAAAAATTGCCTTCGTGTCGACAAATCGAGGAAAAGGAACGGGAAGCGTTGCTGAACGTACGTAGAAGCAATTTTATGATAGAGAGAAAGTCTGCGCAGCTTTTATTTAATTTGTGAAAGCAAACATGTATGTTGGTTTGAGAAATAGGATATGAAGAAGAGATGGGACGAATTGATGCAACAGTACCGAGCACTGCCTTTTCTTACGGACACGTTGCCGAAGGCGCAAAGAAAAGCGAAGATAGAACGGGCGTTGGACCAGCTTGAAAAAGACATAACAAGTATCGAGCGCTATCAGATTATATACGTTTATGATGACGAGTAATGTTAAACACATACTATATATTTTTATATTAAATATTTATAAAGTAAGAATTTTTCAGAATAATATATTTTGTAAATTTTCCACGTCGTGTACATAAAGAAATAAATAAATAGTCATGAATTATTATTAACGATTTTATTGTGCGATGTTCTCCCTTTTTTTTATTTTTTTATTAAAACGATACGTATAAGATGGCGCCCAAATATATTTAAGGCCGGTTTGATCGATAAGCGTCGATCGCGATTGGTCGATTCGGCTCGTGGAAACGGCGGTTGGAAATTCGAGCAACGCGATATCGTTCACAATCAGCGACAATTTGCGCTAAACGGCGCTTAGCGTTCATTGGTGCATAGAAACCGTCACATTCGAAATATTACACCCGTTGCACAACAGTCTGCTTGTGTTCTGCTGAACGCGGCCATTGACTAGCGCAGGAGAAAACAGGCAAAACGTCGATACGCGTGCAACAATTTCTCTCTTACGGTGTTTCCGTCTACGCCGAACCTGTCCGTTGAAAAGTATTGTTATTCGAAGTGTATTTGCAACAGATCCAAATCTAGTACAAAATGGTAATTGATTGGAAATATATAGAGAATAATAGAATTGCCGTAAAAAATGTTTCCTTGAGTGCAAAAATATTTCGTGTGTTTTATCACGTTCAATGTTGTTCTGCTGTCTCTCTCTTTCTTTCTCTTTCTCTCTATCTCTCTTTCTCTCTCTCTCTCTCTCTTTTTCTTTCTCTTTTTCTCTCTCTTTGACTCTAAAGAAAAATAATATAATTTCGAAATATTGTGATTTGAAATATTCTTTTCTTGCAATATTATTCTGCAAACACATTTGTTTTAAAATTGATTCATCTTGTAGGGTAATGAGAGTTCGCTGCCTATGGAACTTTGTTCAAACTGTAAGTCGTGAAACTTATAAATTTTTCTTTAAAATATCATGAAGTAACTTTGTCCTTGATAATATATATATAATTCTAGAACAATTAGAAATATCAAATAATTTGTAAAACAAAGTTTATGTATAAGATATATGTGTTCTCTTCTAGTCGATGTGGACGAAATCAGAAGATTAGGAAAGCGATTTCGCAAGTTAGATTTGGATAATAGTGGAGCTCTCAGCATCGATGAGTTTATGTCTTTGCCAGAGCTGCAACAGAATCCACTGGTGCAGCGTGTTATTGACATATTCGATGCGGATGGTAATGGAGAAGTAGATTTTAAAGAATTTATTCATGGAGTATCTCAGTTCAGTGTTAAGGTAATAGTTTTCGCTATTTATAAATAATAACTATTGCATCTCTTTTATGCAAATAGTTTACATATGTTGTTAATTTGCAGGGTGACAAGGAAAGTAAATTGCGATTTGCGTTTAGAATTTATGATATGGATAATGATGGTTATATAAGCAATGGCGAGCTATTCCAAGTGCTTAAGATGATGGTTGGAAACAACTTAAAAGATACACAGTTGCAACAAATTGTTGACAAAACAATATTGTTTGCCGATAAGGATGAAGACGGTAGAATTAGCTTTGATGAATTTTGTTCTGTGAGTATATGTAATAAATTTATACTAATTGGGTATATATTCATTTTTCAATAATGTGCAAACTATATATTTTATATGATTTATTTTAGGTTGTTGGCAATACAGATATTCATAAGAAAATGGTAGTTGACGTTTAAGTGTGATTTTGAATTTGCAAAAAAGAAACTCTTACTTTATTAAAAAAAAAAAAAAATGTGGGGTATGTTAATTAAAATCTATAAATTAATAATATTAACATCAGATTTATGGGATAGTTCTGAAAAGATCTGTTTAAAGTAAACAATTATTGTTCTTAAACTTTTGATCATTACGAGTTTATTCCAGCAAAAAATTTGAATGATAATAATTGCGTGCATGTGCATCACACTAAGTGCAATATGATGCTAAAGTGTTGAATCGATCGATACGGAGACTGTTTTATTTGATATGCCTTATTAAAGGTGTTATGGAATAAATCAAACCATCTTCTGTGTTCCTTCACAAATGTAATGATGAGTATAATATATGATGTAACTTTGAATAATCTTAACTTTAACTCTAGCATCTTAACGCTACGTGCTTTCTCCAAGATTTTTCTCGAAGACTTTGCAGATAAATTTAGTTTTTTTTTAAGTGCCTGCCAAAAAGAAAAGATATATATAATTTTAGATATAGAGATGCACTCTCTTGATTTATTCCTTCCATTTTAAACTTCTCAGTGAAAAAGAAGCACAAGAGTAAAATCAAATCTCGCATCATTGTATGGATCAGTGTATTGTAACGTATTTTCTTCATTGTTCAAGAAGTAACTGTTAATATTATTCATAAAATAATAACGTTGGCATCATTAAAAGATTTCACTCAATAGCAAAGGTCGTTTTAAGGGATTATTATTTTAAACTATTAATATGTAAAGAAAGTTATATATATAAATATATAAGAAGTTAAATATTTCGATTATTTCTATATATTATGTTTGCAATAAGTACAATCACAAATGGTGCATTTGGAGAAGATAAATTAGAACAAAATTTGTCGCGAAATCTCGAGAGAAAAAAGATATCGAGTTTTTTATCCACAGATTTACTTGATGAGCTTCTGTATGTGTCATAATCTTTGTGTGTTACCATGGGGATGTTTATAATTTTCTCAAATGTACGATCTATTTATTTAGTTAGATATTTATTTATTTTGCGATAACAATAAAAATCATAATTTATCATTATACGTGAGATCCATTAAGGTATATATATTTATGATATAAATAAGTTTATTGTATCATTGTTAATTGTTTCTATATATACTTATACATGTTATATGATCTTATCATGTCTATATTATATATAATTGAAGTTTAAAATTGTAAAATATATTGAAATTACTCTCTCTGTATATGAGTGTTTGTACAGACTGTGCAACAGGTATTTTTGATTTCTTAAAGAACCTGTTTATGTTTTAGAACAAATGTGCAATAACTTTTTGGTTTTTCTTGAAATAGTTTTACGCGAGAATTTTGAATCAATTACACACATTTGTCTCTCTAATATTGCACTTTATTTTTAAACATACAGACATAAATAAAACTGCTATACACAATATTTCATTTTTGAGACATATCTATCGTCGTAACTACATTTATATATCGATACAAGAAATACGAGTTACATAAAAATGACACAATACAAAATAGTAAAAATCAGTACAGAAAGAGAGAAGGAGAGAGAGAAAGAGAGTTAAAAGTGTCGTTATACAGGCGCGAATCGCAAATTTAGCCTCTTTATTTATAGCGACGAGAAAACTTATTCACACATGTATAGAATATTTTATATATATATATATATAAATTTGAATTGAACTCTCCTCCGTCGTATTATGTGTGTATCGAATAATTCGATAGGTTTTTAAATACTAAAAGACGCTTACTCAATGCCAGAATATCTTACAAAGTTCACGTCACTTACAAACTACCAGAAATANTCTATCAATCAGAATAAAACAGCAATCAATTACGGACCAAATACGTAAGCTTAAAGCGATTTATTCGCGTAAAATTCTGGCTAGATAATGATCTCTGTAAAATACTCTGAATTATCGCGCAGTTGCTATTCTCTTTTTTTTTTTTAAATCAGTGTTAAGTGTCGTAATCGAGATGAGCGCGTGTGAGAGTCAATTCCGAAAATCGTTTCCTTTTAACTATTATCGATATGAGCGATGTGTTCGTCGCCACTCTTGGCGTAGTTGTCCAAATTAATATTATTACGCTTGGCTTTGAAGTCAGTCTTAAAATTTGCCTGCTGGGCAGTAGCGTCGTCTTGGAACACTTCGGTAAAATGAAAGCTACTCCCATTCCCAGTCTTTCCTTTTGCATTGTTGACGGAACTATCGGAATAAACCTCATTGACATGTTTGCACAATGTCGCATTGAACGACTCTACATCACCTTCCGGTATCTTGCATCTGAAATGTCGGCTTATTACGATTAATTTTGCTAGATCCGCGCGCGCTGCCGTGTCAATGAGCATAGTAGATTCTGTTTTCTTTTTTTTTTTTTTTACGAATAATCGGTTTGCGAGAGACGCTTTACCGAGACGCTTCATTGTTCTTGGTGGTTTGTACAACTGGCGATTTAGAATTGGCATGATTGTCCTGATAATGCTTCCATAGGCCAGTTACGTTATTTAATTGCGCTCCACATCCGGGCATTTTGCATCTATGGATATTACATGAATTTCATAAGAACCGTAAGTATACATCTATACGCGCACAAACGCACTACGTACGTTTCGTAATATACTTACAAAAAGAAGCTGACAGTAGAGGTTTTTCCTTGCTTTACCTTCGGCGTTTGCTTACCAGTATTGGAATTAATTGCGTTCATGACTAATTTATGACTGTCTTGATGATGACGATAATGTGATATGTATTTGTACTTCTTTCCGCAGCCGTTAAAATCGCACTTGTATGTTTCCTGTTTGTACCTAGACATGCGTTGCTTCTTCGGTGTGTACTCGTCATCCGAGCAATTGCTATTGGTTTCCATCGAACTGTCCTCGATCTTCAGCGAACTCTCATGTTCGAGACCGCTACGAAAAACCCGCTCCAAGTTGCCCAGATCTATTCTGTGTTCCTGATTCCGCACATTCAGATTACATAATTCCATCTTCATGTTTTGCGTAATAGTCACGTCACCGTTTATGTAGATCACGTTGGTCTTATTGTGCGAGCATTCCATTTGTAGAACTTCCTCGCACTTGGGCGCGCTTCCGTCGTATTTTTGTACGAAGTTATCCTTAACTATAAGCAAATCTTCACTCTTCGAAAACTTACTGATAGAACTCAGGGATTCATTATTCGAATATTCGTCGCTGTTCGCGACAGCCGTAATCTTATTTTGATCGTGGCAGAAATTGTTTTTCACCTGAATTTTCGTCTCGTTTCTAACGTGACAACTCTCCTCCGTATTTCCGTATTCTTCGTCCAGGACGAAGTTTTCGTTCGACAGTTTCTCGTAACTGTCGTCAGTCTTTTGCAGAACTTCCTCTTCTATTGCGTTCTCCGGATCCTCGAAGCAAATTATTTCAGGTTCTATCGGCAGTGTAGACAGCTGTCTATGACAGCTCTCAATATGTTCTTCTAGGTTACTACTGGTAGTGTGCAAGGACCCGCAATTGGTATATGGACATGCGAACACATTGGTTTCATTGTTGTGCCATTCCTGATAATGTCGCCACATGCTACCTGGATCTGACAATTCTTCTCCACAACCAGGTTCGCGACAACTACAAACATTCAATAGAGAGACGATAAAACAATTCAATTAGAGAGATGGTAAAACAATTTCAAAATAATCCAAGTTTAAATAGTATTGAACAATTCTGTCTTCTTTTTTCTCTACTAAGTATAAAAACAAAGTACAATTGGTATTAAACTCACATGAATCTAATCTTTAAAGCTTCTAGCACTTCGTGTTTGTTATATTCCTCTTGATTGGTGAATACCTTACCGCAACCTCGTTGTTTGCACGTATAAACTTCCTAAATATTAGAAATTGTGTGTGAACATTATTAGAGAAACTTTACTTCAACAAAAAAAACAACAAAGATACGATAGAAGTAGAAAAAGAGCAAATATCAAAGACAATTCAAATCAAAAGTCATTAAACAAAATTATGTAAAAGAATCACAGTTATTGTTTCTATTTTTTGTTAAAATTATTCAAAAAAAGAACTTGATAGAGAAAAATTATATACGCAAACGTTAAAAATCTCCTTAAATTCACACAACAAAGAAACACACAATTGGACAGATTTATCAAACAAGATGTTTGTTTTTACACTCGCCCTAGTTTAATCTACTATTTGTTTTGGCTTAGAGGTCATTGACCCCGGGCCAATGGCTTCTTCCGTGAGCTTCACCTTTTTCGGTTCGATCGTGTGATTCCGCGAGACGAACTTGATGACGCTGACTTCCGTTGGCCGATCGGCACACGTCTCCGTACCCTGACCCATCGTGCAGGATCCGGGGCGGCTCCGGCACAGGAACACGGGCTCTCCGCCACTCGGCTAGCACGAGCGAGCTAAATCACATAACCTGTTCCCATGACGGCTAGATTTGACAGAAAAAATCGCGGCTTTGCTGAATGAAGCGCACGAGCGGCACGGCGGTTTCGCGACGGTCTTGTCGGATCTCGAATCGCGATGCTTACTGATCATGCACGCTCACGAGCGTTACGCACCGAAACGCGCCTGCCGAATTCACCGCATCGCATTATCGGTCTGTCAATAATAACAGTATCTTGTGTTGTCACATATCAGTACCCAACAGAAGGTTCCGGTTTAGCCGCAACCGAGCCGGCCGGTTCGCATTGAGAACCGCTGGCGCGTTGCGCGAACGAATGCAACGAGCGAGTGCGCATCTTCGACGCATATAAAATAGAGAAATCTACCAATCGCGTGATACGATCGCTAGATTCTCGTAACATAACATTACGGTGCATACAGTAGGGTGCGTCCCGACAAGAACGAAATAGTATGAAATAGATCAAGAACGGAAAAGAGACATTGGTGAGAGAATAGCCAATCAGAGTCGCTTCGTTCCCCACATAGAGCGGATCTATTACGGATCTACACGACACGAAAAAGAAACAAAAACATTTCTAATTTATCAAATATCTATTGAACACATCAAGTAAATATTGTTGCATTTACTTCTTTTTAACAATGTAGCTTTGTTTCATTTTTATACTTATTATTTTTTAAATTGTCTCAGCTGTATACTCGATTTTTTCATGCTGTAATGAAGAATCCCAGCACCTCTGTTGTCTAAGTGGCAGACAAGTGAAACAAGAACATAATTGTTTATTAAAAAAAAATTAATATCGCAATGACGTAGCCATTTGAAAAAAAAACATTGCTCTCGGCTTTTTTTTGTTCTAAAAAGGTAATAATTTTATTATACGTTAATAATCATAATGTATACAAAAGTATTTTCTATCATCTCTACTTATATCACTTATTTATAAGTTTATATTCTCTCACACACTAGACTACATGTTATTATAATTATATTAACAGCAATAAGAGATATGTCGAAGTTTTTAAATTATATTTCAACAATTGTTATATATTTATTATGTATTATGTAGTACATATAATGTCATCAAAAACATATTTGTTTAGTACACATCCTTAGTTTTTTCACATGTGGTTTAGAGAGAGAAAAAATATAGTGTTTTATGAATGACAATATATACTGCATGATATTGAAATACATGTTGCATCCATGCAACAAATTAAAAATTAGAAGCAAAAAGTGGCGATGACCAATTATTTTCTAATAATTCGCAATTGACAGTGCTGTTGTGTGTGTGTGTGTGTGATTATCTGAAAAAAATATATCCGCCGATAATAGACACTATACTGCGAGTCGATTTGAGGAATATACCCAACTTACCAAACTGTTTGAGAAAAAAAGACAGAAAACTGATCGTGCCGTAGTTGTCGTTATGAAGAAAACGTTCGATGAAAATGTAGAATTGATAAAAATTATTCACTCATATAAAAAAATGTCAGGTTTTTTTATATGCGAGTATGAATTTTTGTTTCTTGTGAGAGACTAAATAGAATTAATATTATCTTTCCGCGAATGTTCTGAGCTTGCTTTGATTTTTTATTGTTGTTGTCTTGTTTCTTCTTGTATATTGTTCACAGTTTACAATTCTGTATGATAAGGTGGAAACCTCTTCATCACCGCGGTGTAAAGATTGTAGAAGGCGTAGAAGCTCACGCTGAGAATCAGCGCGAGAACCACTCCGAAGATCCAGGACAAGAAGCTGCCGTCTATTATTATGGTTTCGCTTTTTCTTATTGATCTGTCGTTCTGTTTGTCCTGCGACGAGACGTTCCGCGCCTCCATGAGTTTTCTCATGTGCGCGAGCTTCTCCCGCAATTCGTCTACGGATTCCGTGATCTCCTCGATTGATTCCGAGGAAACATCTGTAACTCACACAAACACATAAATGAGATACATTATTGCGCGTACGGAAGTAAATTAAAATTAATCTTGATTAAGTAACTCTACACGAATAAATTCAATTCGAGTCTTAATTTAAAATTGTTTCACTATATTTTAAAAAGTCTTTTACTGAGACTTAATTCTCCAATTTGTCGTATGAGTTAATGCACACAATTAACGTACACTCTTGTTTACACTCTGACAGTTTTGAATACGTTGTAAACATATGTTTGTAAACTTTTCGACCAAGTATCGTTTTTACTTTTTCTTCCTTTATTCACACTCTTCAATGTTTGCAAACAGTTGATTGCAAAAGAGATCGGAAAGACAACAACGTTGAACTCACCGTCGCAGTCGGGCAGACAAGTGTGTGTTACAGTTTTCATGATGCTGCCGCACGACTATAACTTTCCCGATTCTGGCGTTTGGTCCAGAGTGCGACGGTATTGATCACGCTCAGCATCCCGCGCGCGACATAGCGCAGTCTCTCTTTCTCGTTGGTACAGCTGATATATATGTATAGCTAAATATGATGATTATTTTACAATATATTCAGATTCGATATGTGTCTAAGTGTACAAAGCTTATGTAGTCATTTATATTTGCAAAACAAATCATCACGCGCGCGCACAAACACACACATACGTATATATATATATATAATGGCTAAAAATAAAGATTCAACTGAAATAATGTACACGCTACAGAGGAGTGCGCCATGTCATGCGGCTCCAGGGGAGGTATATTTCTCAGAAATTTCTTTTCTGGCTGCTCCTACTTCGGTCTCCGCCAGTGGTCCGAGATTGAAGAAAAAACGGTACGCTACTCAGCCGGAGGAAAAATTTCCGAAAAAAATACTTCTTCTAGAACCGCACGATATGGTGCACTCCTCTGTACGTTAGAGAGAATTTTGACTTATGATTGATTTCTTCACAGCTTAAGTTTGTTTTATGTACCACAGCCTTTATTGTCTTAGAAATAAATCCGCATGAGAGAGAGTTACCGTGAATATTTTATAAATTGTGTACAAAAAATAGTTCTGTATGGTGGCAAATACATGAATATTTTCTTTTCCACATAGTGAAAAAATTTGTAAATAAAAAAAGCAACAGTCAACAGTTTCACATTAAAATTTTATTTTTTATTACATATATATGTATATTATTATTCCAAAAAAAATATATACATATATACGCGTGTGTATAAATTATGTAGTAAAATGTTAAATGTTAACTGTTTTATACGTTATTTGTAAAAATATTATTTCTATCAGTTTTTGTAAACACATAACATTGTTGAAAGCTTGAATTTTGCAGAGCCGTGTAGATAACTGGATAGTTGTAGATCAAACTCAGTGCCTCGTCCTGCTTCGATGGAAATTCTTGCAAGTTTTTAGAAGCTGAGCAAAAAAATCAATTCATTATCATCTTCTTAATTGACGAAAGTAACAAAGTTATTCGGATAGAAATATATCTTTGTGAACTTTGTTCTCGCTTTTACTTTTTACTTACCTTCGCTAACAAAGAAATTAGCGAAATATTGAGTTACTAGAGTCGCGTTATGCCCGTGGGGTATATTTTTGCCAGTTACCCATTCGTAAAGATTTTTTTCTGGATGAAATTGCACACCGTAAAAAGGGTAGAATTTGTGTTCTAACGACGAGATGAATTCTAAACCCCTTTTGTCGCGATTCAGTGAGATCACACGAAATTTGTTCATTAAATTAACACTGCGTAAATCCTAGAGCAGAAAAACATTTATATACCGGTGTATTTGTGTGTACGTATGAGTATTATCAAACTTTTTTATATTTCTCTTTAATATTTAATTATAGTATATTTGTTTTTTTCTTGCCTCTTTAGTAACGCAAAACTTATGAAAATTCGCCGTAACGTTTTGCGTTCTTAAAATATTTATAATATACGATGGAGCATTTTCAAACAGTGTGCTTTTTCTGTAATCTGCAAGATAAGGTTTTATATAGAAATAAAAACTGTTTGTGCAAGATAAAAAAACGAAATTTCTATCATAATTTGAAAATAATTTTTGAAACGGTACCGTGCATGAATTCCAGCGGAAGAGGTTGATTTATACTAGAACAGTTTGTCCTGTGTTCAATGCGATTAGCCGCAACGTATGTCAAAAGTTCGAAACCAAGGCAGATGCCGAATATTGGGAAATGCGTTCCTCTGTCATTGATTCTCTTCGCGATTCTAATTAATATTAGCATTAATGAGAACAAATTATTATTATTTATCCGAATAAGATTGGAATTGCTTTCTTGTATTAATCTATTCTATTTTACAATAACCTGTAGATCTTGGCGCCCGCATCGGCATATCCTTCGTCGGGGTAAAAGTACGTCGAACCTCCCGGCCATAAAACTCTGAAATATAGTGTATACTTTAATACAACTTGTATTTAGTGCGTGTAATGTTTTGCAAATGCATGCTAAAACAGTGTACAGTGCGTACCCATTAACTTTGCTCAAGATATTCTCGTAGTATGAATTGTCTTTCCCAATCCTGCATAAAATTTGCACATTTTAATTTGTAACATAATTTTTTAAGCGAGCTAACTTTTGAAAAAACAATTAAGTTTTTTCAAGTTTAAAGAATTTTAAAAGGAAATTGAGTTTGTTGTTACATTCGCACTTCTCTAAAGGTCAGGAAAAATTATGAATTTTTCGTAATTACCAAATTGGAACAGGACGAGCACCAGCACCTTCAACAAACTTCACGTACGATGCAGCGATGTAGCTGTGATATTTGTTGGGATACGATTTATTTAATTTATAACTTATTTCTTGCGTTAGAATACCTTAAAAAAAAAAAGACAAACGTACGTAATATATTATTTCTTTTGGGGAATATGTTGTAATACTTTTCACTCGCACAATCATACAGATTTTAGTGCTATCTCTCAGAAAAATAATTCAGAAATATATATATATGTATATATATCTTTATAAAAAAAATCAACTATTGCACGATACATATAGTCTTTTATATGTACTCATGTGTATTATATTACGTAATACAGGCGGAATATTAAAAACTTTTTGATATTGATCCATATAGGTACTATAAATAATTCTCTTTGTAATCTATATATATATATATATTTCTCTATATGTTAATTGAACTTTCATTTAAAAAATTCGTATATGTTACAATAGACCATACTTTTTGTCAGTCGCGTGCAAGTAAAAAAGAAAATTTAAAAATATAGCAATGTGCAATACTACACATTATCGCGGCCATGAAAGACTTAATTAATTAATTATTAATATATTCTTATCTTTCGAGTAATTCTAACCTTACTTTTTCGACTACATTTTGTAATTAGCGATAACGCAAATATATATGCACAAATTACGCATATATATATATATATAGACCTTTATATTCATTCAGTTAAATCTTATAAATATCTTAAGCTCATCTTTAGATGCTGTGTAGCCAATGAGACGGCCAGTACAGCATCATAAGATAAATTTAAGACGATCAAAAGATAAACTTAAGACAATAAATACAAAAACGGACCACAAATAAATATCGATCATTGTGTGTGTGTGTGTGTATATGCGTATGTGTGTGCGCGCACACAATCAAAATTATGTAATACTTTGGCTAAAAACTTACCAATGATCGGTCGATCGTTCAACTGTTTGTCGACAGTCGATGCTGTAAGAGCACATACCAGAAATAAACAGTTCAGCCACAGATAAAAAGTGATCATTGTGAGAAAGACAAAAAAACAATACACATAACACAATTTTAAAAAAAAGTAAATACGACAACTTTTACTGCTAATGTACAAATAACGACAATCTTATTGGGTTAGATCTAGATTAGCTTACGACGCGTGTTCCGATCACCGTCTGTCTGATTCGACGGATAGGGAGTATATCTGTTTGTATTATCACTTAGAAGTCATTAATCGCGTTTTATCAAATGCTTTCCGAGGAAACACTGATTAGGGTATTGTTTCTCTATTGGTGCGATATCTCAAAAAAAGAAAAACAAAATACGTGACCTCATCACATCATCATCATTACCGCATAAATATCGACAATTTCACACTTGATCCGACCTTATATATCACTTCGATCAGTGCTGAGACTAATTTATTGTGACTGAATCTATATCTGTATTAAAAATAATAATCGCGTTTATTTAACGTTCTCTGTTAACGTTCTCTTTAACACGAAATAATGTTTATCGAATTAAAAATAAAGCGTTTCTCAAAACGAAATTGTTAACGATTGCACAACAGTCTCTAAACGCGACACTAATTAAGATGATATTTTATACGTGTGTACATATATATACATGTACATATATTGATTAATCAACAGTAATGCGCAAATATTTATATTGATAACTTTCACATGTTACATACCTTTTGAAAAACACTTATTACTTATATTATTGTGAAATTCTTGAATAATCGACGAAGTTGTTTATTTTAAATATGCAATAGTGCGTTAATTAATTAATTGTCAAAAGATACTACACGTTCTTCTTGTCTAGAAATTTTATATATCTATTATTACTTTAATTGTTAAAAAATGGTATATGTACATATATATATATATAACGTTTTAAAAACATATTATGAATATATATAGCATAAACTATAATTACATGTAATAATATAGAAATTAAATAAATATAATAAATAAGTATAAATGTGCTATATGTAAGACTTTTAAAAAATCTAAAATATGTAACATATAAGGTAGAATTATTGCATTGTGAATTTTGCAACCCAAAGTGGAAATGTTAAGGCTGAAACACAGATTTTTGTACAATGTATAACGCGTATGACACAAGAGAATCAACCAATCAGAACCTTTTATTTCCACTCCCACTTTGTTCTGGAAAGCTCTGATCGATTGATTCTCTTGTATCTTGTATGGTATGCATTGTAGAAAAGTCTGTGCTTCGACCCTAATTGTTCAAATGCCAATCCTAGCTGGGATATGTTCTAAAATCCTACCTTGGTTATTAAAATGCTATATTTCACGTCACATGTACTGTTATAGTATTGGCTACCAAGGTAGGATTTTGGGAACGCGTAACCCCTGTTGGTTACTCTGCCGACCAATAAAGCCGCTGTTCGAAATACAACTACGCCACGTGCGCTATATTTGTGAGTTCTATCTCGGTGGATCTATCTCGTTCCTCTGCGTTTCTCGAAACTTTCTTTACTTAGAGTGGCGTATGAACTAGCTTAGTTCGGTTCGTTGAGCCATATACATACAACAAATCTCGAAACTTTTAGAAATTTACAAATAAAAACAAAAAATTTTTAATACGAAACAAGAGCGGTCTCAATCATGGAAAACACAAGTGACGAAATTGTAAGTAACAACAAAGTCTTGATTGCGGGATGTGTACTGCGTAATTACTTGAGTTTTAAGGTTAGCTTTATCCACGCGGAAAGACAGTCGGCGACAATGTATGTACGTAAATACCTCAGAACATGAAATTTCGCAAATAATATCTTGAACGTCAAAAACATCATTTGATATAAATAATATCTCGTGTACTGAGGCATTTATAAATTGCCAAATTGTATAATTGTTGCGTACAAGTTTTTAAACGTGCGTTTTAAAGACACAAAGATACAAATCATCAAATTTCCCACGATCTATCGAATCAACTTCAACATATAACGTTAATAATTTGAATTGTGTGTTCCAGTCGCAAGATATAAAGAAAGAATCAAAGGCTTTTCCCTTGGCAGATCAGGACACAACATCGAAGGTATTGAACTTGGTTCAACAGGCGCTTAGCCGGAAGGAACTGAAAAAGGGAGCAAATGAAGCTACTAAATCTCTAAATCGTGGCCAAGCGGAGCTTATAGTTTTGGCAGCGGATGCTCAACCGTTAGAAATTCTATTGCACTTGCCGTTACTGTGTGAAGACAAAAATGTTCCTTATGTATTTGTTAACAGTAAAACTACTTTGGGAAGATCCTGCGGAGTTAATAGACCAGTTGTAGCTTGTTCGGTAATAAGCGGCGAAGGTTCGCCGTTAAAACAACAGATAAGAGAAGTAACAAAATTAATAGAAAAGTTTTTAATTTAAATTAGGATTTGTAAATGTTGATTTTATAAATTTTTCTCAAACAAGACAAATTTTTTTTTATATAAACTAAAGACATTAAAATGCGAATTTACTCTGTATCAGGTTAAAATGTATCTATACATGTAAAAATAATGGAAAAATAAATACTAATAATTTGAGTAATTTAAATTATTTTTACATTCAACAAAGATAGAGAGAAAGATACAAATCCTTATTTGTGCATATAAAAAGGAACAACTATGTTGAGGTTTGCTCTGTTTGTCTATCGATATCTGTTATTTCAAGCTCAGATTTTTTCTCTTAAAAAAAATTAAAGCAAATAGAGACTACATGTAATTAACAAGCCCCAACATAACTTTGTAATATTTTTTAGTAACTGAAGATTTCTCTAACGTTTTAATACAGCAAAACAAATACTAATGTTAATAAAACAAAATATTCTCAAATAAACAAAAGAAAATACATACAGGTATGAAATAATTGAAGAGATTATATAAAACATGTGTAAAACAAACTTATATTAGGAACAAAAATTATATAAACTAAAATGGAATTCATTTTTGGAAACAAGATAACACATTAAACTTCCAGTTACCATGCCAATCGTTACAGTACAGCTGAGATGTAAACATATTCTGTTGAAAGTTTTTGCGTAACTGTTGTTGTGTCTCGTTATCGGGAAAATCTTGAAACCACATCTTCAACTGTTGAGCTAATTCGGTCTCATTTTCAAACACAAAACCGTTCTCGTTGTGCCTTACCAACTCGGATAAGCTAAACAACAGAACATAGGTTTTGATATAAATCTGTTTGGCATTCGTGTATTATTACACATTCACATGTATATGTCTCATTATTACCATTTGAACTTGTACGCGCAAACTGGCAAGCCGCAACCAAACATATCGACAACTTTCATTGGTAAATCTAGTCCGCTGGATGATGTGTGCAGGCAAACACCAAGATCTGCACAAGCTATTTCAAAACAATTCTCAGTAATATTTGGAATATTTTATAAAATGTTTTACGAGATTGTGTATATTATATACACATGTAAAAAAAAGAAAACAAATTGTTATTTGTCAAACAACATAAAAACATTGTGAGTGTGTGCGTGATACCTAATATTTTTGGATAATCCTCAAATTCAAGCCACAATGTCTTTACTGTGATGTGCTTCCAAGTTTTTAAATTAATAATAGCTGTGTAAAAATCCTTCAAAGGTCCTTTGCCCGTTATCACACATATTAAATCTGGTAAATTCAATTCTCCATCTTCGCACGTATCTTCGTACTCTATAAAAACAGAACAGCTTTAGTGACATTTCATTTGATTATTCGTGGCAAAAACAAACAGCTTTTACACCTTGTAGAGCATTTAACAGAACTGAAAAATCTTCATCTTCCGTCCAACTAGTACTGGACACAATGAAACCGGATCTTTTGGGTGATTGAGGTATGGATACATCATATTGTTCAGCTAACTTGCGTAGAAAGTCACTTTTTTCTGTTAGAGTTATCGGATGGAACTCATCCGTTGGTCTGTCGTACAGAACCTTAGCTCTGCAATAGATCAGTATTGAGTAATCTTTTTAAAACTGTTGATCTTGCAAGAATACCTTACTGAAGAAAAACGTAATTTATAAGTTTTATACAAAAGTTTTTAAAAAATTGTGTTTCACAAGTACTAACTGAATGGCAAATGTGTTTTCTAAATCTTCTTTCATCGCCTTGGTGACACAAAAATTGTTATTCGCCATGCGTCCAAAAGTTATCTCTATAATTCTTGCTACCCTAACTAAAATGTGATTTTTTCCCAGGCTTAATGCCATAAGCGAATGCGCATAATTGTGCCAGTCGATTGCAAATTGCGTTTCCATTAGCGCGCAATAAAACCAGCATATTGGAATCGTTGGTATTGCGGGTGGATTCTGTAATATCAATAGATCTGGCACACTTTGCTTGCAGAATAACGACCACAGAAGATTAGCGGTCTGCCAGATCACCTTTGTTACGTAACACAGAACAAGCGGTAATCCTAAAATAATTAAAACTCATTAAATTTTGATATAATTTTATTCTTCTTTTTTTGTAGGTAGGTTGCAACTTATGTATACAAACGAACCGTGAACCGAGAGATCTCAAAACTGTAAAAAAAAATTATTGAAACCGAAAATTTATACAAAAAGACACATATTGTTTAAATTTGCAATTCGTACTATTTTGCAATTCGGGAGGTGGTCGCAGATAGTGAATCCGTATGCGCGCGTTTTCGCGGATTTCCTTCATCGGCAGCGAGCCGGGATAACCTATGATGTTTACGGTGAATTCTTCTTTGGCGAAGGAAATCGCGTGATATTGCATACGCGGACTCCTGCCGATATCACCAAGTACGACCACGCAAACATTCTTGCCGGATTTCGATCTTCTCGAGTAAGTTCTGCACACGGCAAGAATAATAAGAACGAAAAACGAGGGAAATATCAGGAACATCAGCATCTCGGAAGTGCACGAACGTCAACACGCATCGCGCCCGGAGTGACGGAGATTTAAACCGCATGTCGCATGCGCAGTCAAAGTTTTGGATTTCAGATCTCAACGCACGCGCTCAAATTTACAGGTAAGTTTTTTTTTTTTTGTTTTACGTTTTTTGTGCATACATATTTTGTGGCGATTGCAATGTAAATTATTTGCGCATTTTATTTGAAGTTAATTTTTGCATTTATAACTTTATTTTCTCGCTCTATTTACACTGTACATTTATTGAAACAGCGTCGCAAAAATATACATAAATGTCATAAAGTTCTTTTGAAAAAACATTTTTGGCATCTTTATTAATCTTAATTTAGTTAAATTAAGTTAATTACTTAATTAGTTAACTACTTAATTAGTCTTTGTGATTATCACGTTGCTCGTGATAACGTGCATTTAGGAATTCATTGCTCTTATTCGCACCATGCGTTCTTTCGCCGCTTTGAATTGCTCGAGAACGCTCTCGATATCGTTCACGAGATCATCGGTGTTCACTCTGCCGAAATCGTCGGTCGTCCAATGATCAAGGTGTTTCGCACGCGTGCCGTTTTGATGCGCGATATTCATATTGATTTTGATCTCGCCGCTCGGCACAACTTTCAAACGCGATTTGTCCAGGATTTTACCCTCGTGCGTCATCGGAATGCCGCAGTACGTTATGTCTTCGAGCGCGTACGAGCCTCCGACAAAATATCGTCTCATCGCGTCGATTATGCTGTCTTTCGCACGCCACGTAGGAATCGTGAATTTGTAAGCGCCAGGTGTCATCGGTACTGATAACGATGCGTAACCCTCTATTCGATATCTGTACGTGTTTGAAAAACAGATCGATATTTATTTTCAACAAGCAGAGTTTGTCGTCGAGTGAGAAAAAAATTATTTACGAGAAGATCAGCAAGAAATTTTATTAGGATTAAATAAAAAGAAATGAAGATTGTTTCTTGATGTAAAAATTTTAATTACCTGGTCCAACTGTCCAGGGACGCTACGAAGAATAATAAACGGGGCCAAGATGATGCGTTATTGTTCTTTGACTGTTGAAACGTATTTGACGGACAATGCAAGGATATGTCGGTGCAATAACTGAAATACGCCGTTTTATTTTCTAAACATTTCTGCGTTCTACCCAACAATCGTTCCTTCTGCTGTGTGTCCCAATGTCGCGGCAAATCGATGAAGTACGTAACGAACAGTCCGCCGTAAGAGAAACCGTGAGCCGACGCGATATCGAAATTTAAAAATAAAGTAGAGAAATTTGTCGGCGGCAATTGAAGCTCTTTGTGTAACTCCGTCGTCTTGTAATCGAGCTGCTCTTGCACTTCCTGCAATAAAACAGAAAAACATCGACATTTGATTGACCTAATTTTTGTTCAGTTTTACATTGTCAAAACTTACGTAAACTATATCTTAAGTAATTGCGTACATATTTATTTATATAGTAAATTTTTATGGTCAAAAAGATGTAAAAACTCTCTACTCTATCTCCCTCCGTTTCGTTATAAAACAAAATTACATTTACATCCTGCCAAGCTCGCAAATTTCAATTTTCTCTTACGAGAACGTTAAGGCGATATCTTCTGTCGCACTGCGAGAGATCTCGCAGATTTGCAAATTCGCGATAAATGTTTGAGCAAGATTTTCTTTTGTGCGAAACTCATCAATTTCAACATTGTGACACATTGCTGTATCTAATAACGGGGCGAGATAAACCTCGCTAATCTGATTCGGCCACTTTGCAGTGGAGTGCAGTGATAGAGATATTGCCTTCACCACACAACGCTGCCACCACCGCGCTGATGTGGTGTGCGAAACGTTTATTTCCGTGTGTTTGCAGATATGTTCGTGCCTCACCGTACACATTTGTACACCGTTGTGTACGTGTACGGGCACCGCTGATAGCCAACGTACAGCAGTCTCATGTGAAGAGAGTGTTTAAGAAGACACTCGGGAGAACCATAGAATTCAGTTGTTCGTACGGAGTGCAGTGGTCAACTTGGCGCTTGACGCGCGCGGATGAACAAAGCAAATCGCGACGCGATCGTCAATATATTTCGGACTTCTAATAATAATAATTAAAAAAAAACAAAAACAAACAAAAACAAAAACAAAAAACACAATCGCAACAATTTCATTCAAAATTGCTCAAATATGTGCAAAAGCACGACGAAAAAATCGTCGGATCGCAAAACAGTCGCCGCTGGGTGTGTCCTGGACCGTTCTTATGGAAGAGGGAAGGAACAGCAGTGAATCGACGGATTTTTCGAAGATGCCGATGATCGGCGACAAGTTTCGAGGACAGTTGTAGTTAACGTGTTCAACAACGGCGCACCGCACGGAAGACCGCACAGAGCAGACCGTCATCATGTTCTATCCGCAAAGAGTGATGCGACAAATCTCAGAAATCTCCTACGTGGGGTACGTATACACCGCATCATTTTTTCTCCCCCGCGGGCGAAGTTCCGATAGTTTTTTTTTTTTTTTTTGTATCGTACGTTCTCCGATTATAACGATTAAACTCTTCGTCGAATTGTTACGACGATCGAGCCGGCTTCGAACTTCGCGAGAAGAGCTCGCTCGGAGCGAAAAATAAACGCGCGCAATCAAAATTCATTTGTCTCCAATTCGATACATTCGGTAACAAACCGCCATGCCCCCGTTCCTCGCCCGTGCCCGTTCCCCGTTCAGACTTTTGGTCCGACTTTTTCATTCCGAACAAGAAAACTGTTTTAACAATACAATACAAACGACGATCGAACGAACGATTTAAACAAATTGTACAATTGAACAAGAAAAACCTCAGAAAGATTCGAGTGATATAAGAATGAATTTTTTTATATAATTGTCTGAAAAGTTAGTATTCCCTCCGGCGTTGGTCATTGCCGTAAATTCCCGTAATCACTTGCGCCATACATCCTCCTTATTGCGGTTTACTTTTTGCGGAGTAAGCATGACACACAGAGACATTCTTGTTACCTCATTTACGATTCCGCTTCGGTTTAATCTGTTAAGCAATATTGTTTCCGCGGAATTCCGCGAGTCTAAATATAGCTATAGTTTTTTTTTTTACATATATCTTAAATTATTAATATAAATACGTATAAAAAAATATGAAGTTATTAAAGTAGGATCACCGCGTTAGAAATGAAATTGGAAATTAAAATGTTACTTCGAAGATGAGAGAAAGAGAGAGAGAGAGACATGAGTCAGAGCGGACAGAATTGAGCGGGTTGTAAACGCAACTGCGCCGCACGCGCGCCGAACAAACGGACGTGTTTCACGGTGGGTGGTTCGAGAGATAGCTTTTTCCAGGAAAACACTGTCTTTTTTTGATCACGGTGGTGACGCGGCGAGAGCAGCGGAATGCCGATTGCACACACAAATCGTGTGTTCGAATACTTAGATACTTACACGGCGCGCGTCTTCGCGCCGCTCCTGCAGCTGCTGCTGCGTCCGACTCTCGGAAACGTGCTCGATCCGATAATTGAACTTGATGCCGTAACTGTTCGTGACGTTGTAGTGCTCGTCCGCGTCGCCGTGCGTGAAATCGGGGCTAATTGTCAGCAGTTTGCGCGCCTTGTCGTAAGTCACGGTGCAGAGAGGCGTTTCCGTGTCCGCCGATCCGGCGATCACCGGCTCGTCACTGCGGGACAGATCGGCCATCACGTGCATGGCGACACGCTCGGTGTAGAGATAATGACCCGATCGAACGTTCGCGGACCCGTCGTCCACCACGCGTTTGTTGTATCGCTCGCGAAAGGGTTTGCGATTTTGCAGGATCGGTAACGCGGTCTGATTCTTCTTCGACAGATAGGACCTGTAAAGAAAGAATTCATTTCATCGACCGGAGCTGTTAAGTTCCACAGACAATTGTAAAGAGTAAAAAAAAAAGAAACTCTTTTCGAGCTCTTCAATGTCTGTTTTTATATTGTTCTTACAAACAAAAATGTTTCTATTGTACGCAACAATTATATTAAAGAAGAAGACACGTGCCTGTAAGGCTTCGTCAGGAGGTTGTCGTAGGCGTAATAGGAGTCATTCTCCGTGTACGAGTACAATTGGTCACCCTGTAGCTGCTCGTCGCGTATACGCTGGTGATATTCACGCTGATGATCGGTCAGGCAATTCTTCTCGTCCGCGTAAAAATCAATCTCGAACGGGCTGAACACCTTCTCCTGCCAGCTAAAAATACGATCCTTCTCCTCCAAGAAGTTGGAATCTCTGGTCTCGCCACCCTCGGACTCGTCGGCCAGTAGCTCGGCCAACGGAGATCTCTGCTGCACGACTCGCACCCTGAAACAACAAACGAAACGCGCCGACGATGTTAGAAATCCGATGTGATTCGGAAAAGATGGTTTCGAGGCCAGATGCCTGGATTTCTCTGTTTTCTCCGATTCCACGGAAACTGCGCGCGCGCACGTATACAGAAGAAACTTTTAAATAAACTTTTAAATAAATACATTACAGCTAATAAGATAAACAAAGACAATACGTGCTGATAAGCCAAAATATGATAATTAGCGTGTGTGAAGCTTAATTATCTTTCTTATCTTCATTATTCTTTTCCGCTAATAACCACTCGATTAAAGAACAAAAATTGAATTATTCATGTGAACGATTATTAGTGCAAATTATGTAAGAAAAAAACACTTGCTGAGTTAGTGCAACAAAAATACGTAATAAACACATTCGGACTTTAATATAAATTATCAAAGATGTTTTTATTTTTTCAGTTATAAACTCAAAAGTGTGCAAGCGCACACTCCGAAGACGTTCGAACACACAACACAAAGAAACTTTTTGTCTCTCGATTAAAAAAAAAAAAAGAACATTCGCGAATTCGTGGGGCTTCCCATATAATATCTCTTGTCGGGACAAACCCAAGCGGGGCACAATTCACGGAGAATTACTCTCTCTCTCTCTCTTTCACACACACACACACACACACACGCGAGTCTAATTATCACGGAACAAAAAATTCCTTAATCAGACGTCGACGGCAAGAAAAAGGAAAGGTGGTCGTTTAACACGCGACTAATTACGTAACGTCCCGAAGTCGGAGAGTTATGCTAATGCATCCACATATACGTACGTACGCCGCTCTCTTTCGTTTTTTTTTTCTTTTTTCTTTTTTCCAACCTTCACAACTCCGAGCAAATTCTTCGCCGGAATTGGAAATGCAGAGAATTCTCTGCAACGCAAATTGATGAACGTTTTCTTCTTTCGAGCCGCGGAAAAGCGCTGAAAAAATTTGCTTGCTCATGCAAAAATTTACACGCGTTAACCAGTTTTGTTTTTACATAACAGGAGATAATAAGGATTCTTGTAGTTTTGTTTTCCCGTGATCAAACATAAATGGTCGTAAGCACGTGAGAGAACGTACATAATTATGAGGCGTTAAATAAAGACCCGCAAGACAAGATCTCGAGTTTGATTGATTATGTAAACTCTCTCGGATGCGCGCGATCTAATGGATCCATAAACAGAAAGAGTTGAAAACATCGCGCAAGAATTAATTTTGCCGCCTCTCTTGTCGTTTTGTGCAACCTTCATCGCGTCGAGGCTGATTTATCGTCGAGTTATAATCAAGGAATTTCCTGCAATATCGCAAACCCGTCGTCCTCCTCTCGTCCTTCGAGAGCTATTTGTTGTTTTCTTAAAATAAAATCTATGTAAATTTTTCTCACATACATACACAACATTTGAGAAACGATAAAACAAACGGAAATGTTTTTTTTTTTTAATGGCCAGACAAATGCGAAAAAAAAAAAAAAACAAATTTCACACAAAAGCGTTAATTTTAACTTCTTTCCTGTATATTGTTTTTTAAACACACATGCGATGTAAAAAGTTTCGATATATATTGACACACGCTACCTTATTTTCAAATTGTCTATCGGTTCTTTCACTCTGTAGCTCGCGGCTATCTTCGGTTTTCCCTTTTTGCACATTGTGCCAAATCGCCGCTCGGCTGTGTTGATTGACGTAACACGCTTCGGTTTTTAATTATTGTTACAAAATGAAATTGGTTTTTAGCGGGACGTTGAACAAGTTCTTCCCCGACGCGACTGTCAATGATCCCGGATGGCTCGTTTGTTGATTCATTCGTCGCTAGGGGTAACCTTGGCCACTGTGAGACCTTTTAGCGCGTCGGGCGCGTTGCAAAACCGCCCGCGCTCAAAGAGGTGAAAGAAAAAATTATTACGGACGGGTTATAATTCGAAAACTCGTCCGAGTATTGCGTTTGTAAAAAAAAAAAAAAAAAACAGCATGCGATCGTGACAAGCATAATTCGTCACGGCACACGTATGCGTGTGTGTGGTACGTACGAAGATTCTCTCTTTGTATAAGTTTTATCAACAAGTTGAAACAAGTTCCCGATGAGTCAACGCGGCGATGCGTTGCACACGAGGATGAGCACTCGATGAATTGATAGATGCCGGATCTCTATTGACGCTAAGCGAGTGTATTTTTAGTGCACACCGAGTGATGTAACGTCGATACGCGTTTGTGCACGCACACCGCGCGAGAGAGCCTTGAATATTGCCTGAAAAAAAAATAAATTTTATAGAAAAAAACAAGCCGTACATACGTGCGGGAAAAATCGAGAATAAAAAGAAGAAAAAAAACGCACGTGTTCGCGGAGAAGCGGAAAGAAACTTGGTTGGAGAAGAGCTCCGGATTCGTGTTATTGTTTACCATCCGTTGTCCAGTACGTATACGAGACTAAACAATAAACTGTGTGACAATAAAGATGACAATAAAGATATAAAAAGAACAATACAAGAGGAGTATGTACAGTCACGAAAACGGAACGTTGTTTAAATAAAAAGAGCTGTCTCATTGACGAGAAATAAAGAAACCGGTAGTAAATCACCCACCTTATTTGCGTCGGAGCGACCGTCAAAGAGGAAGAGATCCTCCCCCCTCCCCCCCCAAAAAAAGAGAAGACCGGTTAACCTCGCGACACACTTGCCGATAAAACAAATTCTCGAATTTTTGCCAAGTTTTGCGCTTCGTTGTATCTCCCGGAGGAGAGGACGGTGTACCGTTACGTTCGCTCGTTCTCGTGAGAACTCGGAGGGGAAAACCCGACCTGTGCCACGCGACCGTCCTGGCGGAGACCGTCCCCAATCTCGACATCGATCGGGTCAGTGACACGCGGCGATCAGTAGTAGTAGCGCGCATCCTTCTTACTTCGTCTCTCGTTTTCAAGGTTTCGCGAGAGACCTGTTGCGATCTCTCGGGTAAGTTCGATCTTACGCGCGTGTGGTTTATCACGGTCGGAACGCGTCGAGAGGTTCAACGCGCTGTGCGGCTGCATGTCTCGGAATGGAATCCCCCTCGTGCGTGAAGGTTAGGGATGCGCGTCACGTTTTGGACCGCGGACGCGCGTTCACGCGGGATTTGGCGCGTTTTGCGCGCGCGACTTTTCACGTTACGTTTTTTTTTTTTTATTACATCATCATCAGAGCGATGGAACACACGGTCCCCGGGCGTTCCGAGACAGATCGGCGGGACGATCGACGCCCGGCGTCGGTATGTTTTTTTTTTTTTTTTTTTTTTATCGCGATATCTTTCCCGTCGCGCGCGTATCTCCGACGGAAGATAAGGAGAAAATGTGTCATCGCCGCCGGGCGTTATCGAATAATTCCGAACTGGACCGTTCGGAATGCCCGGAATACTTGTCGCGCGAAGTAGTGTGTTTTAACGCGCGGCGAGTGGCGCAGGTGTTCGCATTGTGTTCCGCGGTTCAGGTCAGGTGAAGGAGAGTAACCTCGGGTACACGCGCGAACCGCGTATCACGTTTTTTCCTCGTGCTAGGCGAGAGCGAACGTGAGAGCGCACGTTCCCGCACCTTGTCCCCGCTTCGCTCCAGGTAAAAAAACACGTGCGCGACATTGCGCAAAAACATTTGTTTTCTTCCCGTGCACGGGACGCGCGTGGTCTGTGTGGTTCCGGTCTTATTTTAGATTTGTGTCTCGACACATGAACCAGCGGAGAGATCACAGTGAAGGATCTAGCTCGGTGCATATCCGAGACTCTCTCTCTCTCTCTCCTGGTTGAAAACTACGCGCTCTGACTCAGAAATTCGGAAAAGTGGGAAATGTCGTGACATGGTTTTTTTATGATTTATTTGTGCAATTAGGATAAAAGCTCTTTCTCTCGCTCGGTAGAACACGGAGCGTCGTGCTGATGCATCTGATATTTACTTTGCAGGAGTTTCAAATTGATAAGGATGTCGACCAATCGTGAAGGAGAGACTGCGGTGACCATTCCACTGCAGTATAATGAGTCTGTAAGTGATGTTTTCAAAGTCTATTTGTTATAGTTCTGTTATGTATCACAGTAATATGTAAATGAGCTTTTTGTGAACGCTCTTTTGAAAATAGATTTAATAGATGTAGATGTCTAAAAAATACACAAAATAGTTTATACAGTCCAAGTATAATTATTATTCAACAATAACAAGAAGAAGAATAACATAATTATTATTGTTTATTATTATTATCAGATAAATATCTATTATATCATGAGATATTTTTACATTTTCTGTATCCAACTGTTTAGTTTTCTAGTAGTTTAGTTTTCTTAGTATGTGCAAGTGATTCATGCGAATCGATAAGTTGAGTATGAATCACTCCTAAGTAAAAACTTTTCAAATGCAACGGTATTGCTTCTTATCAGTGAACTACTATTCACATTATAAACATTCATATTGCTAAAGAAGAAATACTCACGTTTGACGGTTCCTTGTACGTGTTGCAGCATTGGAAAGCTATTTTTGAGAAGTATGATCTTGACGGGGACGGGAAAATATCGCTACAAGAGCTGAAGGCGATGATTCGCGGTCCAGAGTTTCAGAACGATATTCCCGCCAATGTGATCCGCACAATAATGCATAAAGCGGATTTGGACGAGTCCGGTTACCTGGAATATCCAGAGTTCATAGCTATGGTTAGTCTCAGAGTTCTTCAATCTTTAAAAATTCAATCAATTTTTTATATCTTTCAGAAGATAAATTGAATAGTTTGTGTTTTGTCAGTAATATAAATTTTACAATAAAATTTTATTATGTTTTAAAATATTTTACAAAATTATATATTCAATATTCTTTCTCTCTCTCTCTCTCATAACACTTCTTCTTTTTTACTTTAGATCCACAGAAAGGATATGCAAAGTATATTTGGAAATTTCATACAACGATATGTGCACTCCATGATACCTCAACGACCATCGCGCACATTGAGACAGACTTCTGTGGGCTCGAGGTATTATCCCCAGCGACAAATCAGTACCGTAACAATGCCCGCACCAACATCCACTCCTCCTCCTTCGAGCTTTGGCGATTCTGTCCAGGCTACCATTCCACTCAACCGTAAATTAAGATGCTCCACCGCACGTTTTACCGACCTACGGCCTCTCCAACAACAAACAAGTACAATAACGGAATCTTCTCTGTACTCTAGCGACTATCCGGATGGGCTGTACGAAGATGAGTACAGCTGTCGACCGCCAGCCGTGGCAATGATAATCATATCGATCATAGAAATCATTTTGTTCATGTATGATGTGATTAAGCACAAATCTCTTTCTGTAGACGGACCGGCGGCTACGTTATTTATTTATAATCCGCACAAGAGATACGAAGCCTGGCGATATCTGACGTACATGTTTGTGCATGTTGGGTACGTATTGATTCTGCTTCCGTCGGAGTGTTCGCACACTTTCGCAAATACATAATCAAATCAGGTGTATTTTTGTAATCTTTCTAAATTGTTTTATTTTTTTTTTGCATTTTGTGCAACAGTGTCTTTCATTTGGTCGTCAATTTACTGGTACAAATCATGTTGGGCATTCCGCTGGAAATGGTTCACAAATGGTGGAGAGTGTTGATAATATACGTAGCTGGTGTACTGGCCGGATCACTCGGTACATCCGTTTCGGATCCTACGGTCTATCTGGCCGGTGCGTCGGGCGGCGTTTACGCGTTGATCACGGCTCACGTGGCGACCATTATAATGAACTGGTCGCAAATGGAATTTGCCGTGCTGCAGCTGTTGGTGTTTCTTGTTATTACGAGCGTAGACGTCGGTCAGGCCGTGTACAATCGATACGTGCTTGACACCAACGATCAGATCGGTTACGTGGCCCACTTGGCCGGTGCCATAGCGGGTCTTTTGGTGGGTATAAACATTCTTCGAAATCTCGAGGTGCAAACCTGGGAGAAAGCAGTCTGGTGGGCCAGCATGTTTACCTACACAGGTCTCATGACCGCGGCTATCTTGTGGAACATATTGTACACTTCGTATTACGAATGATAATGTTCGCGACGCATCGATATTTATTGCACTCAAGTTATTATTTATCACGAATTTACAATAGGATTAAAGAAAAGTGTTGTTATTCGTCTTGAAGAGAGAGAAAAAGAAAACTCTCATCTTAAGATTGTACATATATATATTCGCTCTATGTTTTGATTAATATATTATGGAAATGATGGTTAATATTTTATGTTGTCGTAACATAAAATAATACAGCCTCGCAGAACAAAAACAGTATATTTTCATACACGCGTGGCGCGCGCGCAAAGGAGCGAACTCCTTGATTCTGCGGTCCTATTCTGCAACTTTTAACGCACAAGTTACAAATCTTTGCGCAGACGAAATATATCATCGAGCTATAGAGCTGCGCAATGATGAGTAAACGAATTTGTCTCGTTGCAGAATAACAAAAGGGCTAATTATCATTTATTATTTTTGTATGTATGCGTAAGTAGAATTAAGCAACGCAGTATTGTTTAAGTACACATTTTCAAAAGCAAATAGTAGAACATCGCATTCTGTGATACTTTTGCTACGTGCGCTGCAACTATTTGCAGGTTTGACAAATTAAAAAAGCTAAGAAATGCGGAACGTTAATATTTCTATTTTAAGACTATTGTCTCACTGTTTGGAAATAGGTACGTGAAGTAAACTACCTCCATTAAATGCAAATAATCATTAGAAAAGAGTCAATTAATCTTTCATCAATATTTCGTGCGTTATAGAGACACATTATGCAGGGTGTCCAATTTTAAAATATGCATCTAAATAAATCTGTAGGAATTCGCGGTTTCACGAAAAATGTATTAAAACTTAACAAAAGTATAGATTCAAGGGGGACAAATGATGATATTATCAATTTTGTTGTAGATAGTGCCACTTTCAAGATTTCATCAAGGCAGCCAGTTTTTTAGAAGAAATTGATTTTTCTTTGAAAATAAAGTTTCAGCTGACAATAAGACAAATACAACGGTTTTTTGTTTTTTTATTTTTTATTTTGGATCATTTTTCACTGAGTTACAGCGTTCCAAAGTTTTTTAACTAATTGAATATAAAAACGCTCTTACAGAGTGCGTGACCCCAAATCACACTACTTTAGTCTCTCTTTTTCTCTCCCCCCCTCTCTCTCTCTCTCTCTTTGCTGTATGTGTGTGTGTCACAGCAGAAGCAGAGAGAAAGAGAGGGAGAGAAAAAAAGAAAGAGAGACTGAAGTAAAGTGCGGTTTGGGGTCATACACTCTGTAAGAGTGGGAGCGTTTTTATATTCAATTAGTTAAAAAACGCTGTGAAAAATGATCCAAAACAAAAAACCGTTGTATTTGTCTTATTGTCAGCTACAACTTTATTTTCAAAGAAAAATCAACTTCGATTAAAAAAATGACCGTTATGATGAAATCGAAAGTAGCGCCATCTATAACAAAATTGATAATATTATTTGTCCCTCTTGAGTTTATATAACTTTTGTCACGGTCATTTTTCGTGAAACCACGTTCCTACAGATTTATTTAGGTGCATATTGTAAAATGGGACACCCTGTATATTCGATAATTTTGACGACACTTTGAACATGATAAAGTATATAAAAATCTGTTAAAAAATGTAAAGTTTTTTTTGAAAGAATTACCAAAAACTATAATGTATAAAATTTACATGTGTGTATATTTCACATGCAAGATATTATTGATGCTTTGTCATCATAAATTTCAAGAGATGCCTTATGACTATATAATATATGAAACAAAAATTAAAGAATTATTATTAACTCGCACACACCGCGCGCACATAATTTTGTTTAAACACACAACGTATGCGTGTTTAAACAAGAGATATTGTACAAAAAGAAAATCAGTATTTTTCAATTAATTTGCCACTGTTTCAAGATATGCAGTTACGATTTTAATATAATCCCATTCAGAATCGTTGCAACACGTAGTCCCGTGTGCCGAAGCCAACAATTTCTTTTGTGTATATTACACTACTTATTAAACTAAAATAGATTGTGTTATATTTAAACAAGGTGCTACGTTCACACACAGATATAAAAAGACTCTTGAAGTTAAATTATTTTAATCGTTCTTGCGCACAACACAACGATTGTTTAATGTGTACCTGACTTGTGCGAGACGCAAATGTATTAATTTATTTAAATGATTTATTAAATGATTATTTTAACACACAGGAAGTTTAGCCTTTGTCACGTCTTGTGATGTCTTTGTAATACGAGCATGCTTTGAAGACAAAAACCTGTATTATTTTTGACTAGACTGATAAGAAAGTAAGAGAGAATATTGTTAATATTATTCACGTGCTCTTTTGTTCGAACAAATATCACATATGTGTGAGTATATGTATCTCGGTTTGAAAAATGTTAAACTATATATTTAATCTCTTAGAGTTAATCGATGACAAGCATTGCAGCTGACTGCAGCGTGGCTCCAATGGTATATATTTATACAATTTAAAGAAAAAAAAAAACAACTATACAGTGTTCTATGTTAGTTATTTGGTGTAAGTTTCTATATTTTAATCAATTGCGAAACAGCGTAAAGTTGTTATTTTAATTCAAAAAGTGATAAGGAGAGCAGCTAATTATAAATATAAGATATAATAAACAATTACAAATTTATAGTTTTAGAACATTTATATATAATATAAAACGCGAGCCACATTTAATTATATATATATATATATTTATATATAATATACCTATATTGTAAATGTCTAAGTTATGTACACTGACGCATTTTAATTTACAACTGTCAAGACAACCGGAAAAGACAGCCATTTATAATTCCAATAGAACATGTGAGTTAACTTACCTGGGGGTCTTGGAATTATGTTCGAATTTTTTTCTTTGTATAAGCTTTGTACACGCGATTGTCATTTATGTATTCCTAATTTTTATACGAATCGAAATGATGAAAAAATTCTCATGGAAAAAGTTTCATAACAGAAATATGTAATAGTTATTAGAAAATAATGTGTAAAACTTTCGCATTTGTTGTCATCCGCATACCAAGTTGCCTTTTGTAAACGCGTGCTCTTATTTATACACGATATTCTGTAATTTTATTGTAGTATGTGTATAAGAAGACGCAAGAGCGTTTTGACTGCGGAGGAAGCGTGTGAAGGGGAAAAGTAATCTTGTGATTTTGCGCAAGATGAATATAAAGTTTATACTAAAGAGAGATTTCGTGTAGTGTATTATTATTTTATGAAACATATTTCACCGGAAACGTATTTGTTGTATCGTTCAACGAAGCAACGCGAAAAGGTGTTCGTAAATATACTATATATACATACACATACATACGTGTAATATATTTTGTATGCGCTTTGTATAAAACGAAATAAAAGTGAGACCAAAAGAATCCGTCCGTAATGAAAAAAATCGTCAGTCTTCTCGCGTTCGTCGTTAAAGTTTGGAACATTCGTTTTAGAAGAGCGAAAGAACGGTTGGGCGAAAAGCGAGAGATTTTTGATGCTCGTTATTTTATAACGGAGGTGATTTTTATTTCAACAAAAATAACAATTTACATTGAACTGTTTTGATAATAATATTATCATGTTTATGCTACAATTCTGTAGTTTTTTTTTTTTTACTGTAGGCGTGGTATGCTCTCGCTCGCTATAATTTTATTTTTTTTTCAATTACTTTGTTTTTATTTTATTTTATTTTATTTTTGTAATGAGTCGCATTTTAACAGAGCGTGTTGTTTTTTTGTGTGGATAATAATCACGTTTTTTTTTTCGTAGGTAGATTAGAAGAAGTGTTTTCGCTTATAGTTTTCTTCATCGTTTCTTTTGCGTCCTCTTCCTTTTTCTCTTCTTCTTCACTTGTGTCTCAGCCTGACGTTCTGCGATCGCGCGTATATGCGTTGTTATTATTATTATTATTATTATATAATTATATATAATAATAATTAATTATTATAATACAACAATCGGGAGGGAACTGTGTATATCTCGGCGTTATATCGTTATTATTTACAAGACTTGTGTTTCCTTCGCGCTTTTACGGCGTAAAGGGATCGAACGAGACATAGACACACCAAGAACAAACTCTTAGCTGATCATTTCCTCTCTTTTCCACGGGTTACAAATGTGTGAGTGCAAGACATACATATACACGCGTGTTTCGCTTTCACGTTGCTTAAAACTCTAAATAGTTTCTAGATGATGATATTTCGTACGGTTAGCAGCGATGTGGTTGAAACTCGCGCCGTGCCGTTTCTTCGGAAAACGCGCATCTGTCCCTCTCTCGAGAAACAAAATCATATCATTGTATATGTGTGTGTGTGTGTCTTTGTATTTTCTTTTATGTATGCCTGTTGTGTGCAATAACGCACTTTGTGTGTACGTCCGCGAGATGTAAACGGCTTCCTCGAAGAATTAAAAAAACAAATCGAAGAGACTGTTCGATCACTTACAAGATTTTCTTCCTCGCTCGAAACTTTAATTTTTTCGATTTCAATTTAATTTTCGCTAATGCATGGATGTACACTCTTTATATATAATTGTAAAAATTATGTGATTTATCAATAGTTTTTTCTTGTTTTTTTTAAATGAACAAAACACAATACATGTATTTTACATAAATTTCCGACGTAGAATACAAAATTTAATCTTGCAATGAATTTGTACGGAGAGATTTTCTGAAGAGTACGCCTTTTTTAAAAAAAAACGCTAATTGAGAAGCGTTACATAATTTTTCTTGTTTTCGTCGTCTTTTAATTTGTTCGCGCGCGAGAGAGGGATTGTGTCACACGGGTCGAAAAGTGTGAGAATCGCTCACGAGCAGAATCGATCCGTACGAAAAACTCGACACCCTAAAAACCTGTTCGCAAACCTGTATCACGTATCAACGAAAGGGAGTTCGTGTACGTTCTCGCTACATGCCGGTGTATTATGTACACGCTGAGTACTTTTTTCTCTCTTTCTCACGGAGCGGAATGGGGAGGAAGAATTTATTAATTCGTCATTATTCTTGTGTGCATGTGTGTCTGTGTATGTGTGTATGTGTTTCGTGCTTTGTACACGCAGACCCGTTTGTATATGTGTGTGTGTGTGTGTGTGTTCACACGCGCGTACTTATTTATACAATCAAGAAAGCTGCTCCCTTAAAAAGATCTCGATCACGCGCGCGCGCGCGCGAGCGCAAGTAATCTCATCCGGAATGGTGCAACTCCAGCACACTATATATATGGAGGAGGAAATACAATGAATTCAATGAGAGATGAAGTGTGTAAAATAAAATTTATACAAGTGGAGGAAACGTGATGAGAGCGATAATAAGACGGGGAGGACGTTTCAAAAGGCATCCCGATATCCTGCAATTAATACAAATCCTTTTAGACGTCGTGAGTTGTTCTCTCGTGAAGCCTCCTTGACACATTTTTTTAAATGCTCTATAGATTTTTTTTTCTTGCGTTTAAAAATGACGTTTTGTTTTTCTTCTTTTTTTTTTTTTTTTTTTTTTTTCAAACGTCTTTCGGTTTTCTGTCGGTCTGCTTCGGGGGAGGGGGGGGACTGAACTGGACTCGCACCGCTCTTTTCTCGCAACATCTTCCTTTTTTTCTTCTTCGACGACGGAAACGATCGCTATAAACGCGGGCTTTGTGTGTCGCTCAGGTACTATACGAGGAGGAGAAAACGTGGATGCGGCCGAGGACACCCTCTTCCAAATACACACGAAGTACGAAGATTGAGCCACGGCTGTCGCACGTTGTCGTATGTGGTAAAATGTTTTTCGCTTATGTGCCTTGGGCTAACTAGATTAATTCGCTTCTTTCTGCGGTGTGTATACATATGCGTGTTGCGCGCGCGCGTGCGTTTGTGTGTACTCATTCGCACACACGCGCCGACACGCATACATATCTATATTATATAATTCATCTTATACTCTGGAAGCATACGATAGTTTTTTTGTCGGGTTTTCAACAGTTATTTTGTACAATAAAAAATCTTCGAAGATGCGCACTTTCGTAACAGAGCGCTACATTTATAATTCTATGGGACTCACTGATTCTCCTCGCGTCTTTGTTGCACGAAGCGGTTGAGGCGTGTGTGTGACACGTGTGTCAAAAATCGCAAAAGTGTGGGAGAAACGCGTCTTTCGTCTGACATACACATATCACATGCGAGACAACACAACTTGCGCGAAGAGAACATTCGCGACAGTGTGTGTGAGATGAGTAATTTTTTTGAGCACGCACGTTGTGCGCGCAGCGCTCAGTAAAGAAGACAGAAAAAAGAAAGAAACAAAAATATCGTGTGTATAATATTATATTTTGTAACAACAAGAAGGAGGAAAGTAACATAAAAAATGCCGATATTAAGGGAAGAACAAATGAGAAAATTTTGAAGGGTTAATATAATAATAATAATAATAATAATAATAATAATATATATATAAATANACGACGTCGTTGATTTTCAGCTCTTTTTTCAAGACATTGTCGATCAAATTCTTCTTTTTCTTCTGGAGTACAATATATTTTACGTTTTGGCATTTTGTGTAAATATAAAAATATATATTATATATATATATATATATTATAATATATATATATATATTAATAATAATATATATGTAAAACTTTTAAAATATTATGTATATGTTTCGTACGTATGTCTCTTGTAAAATACAAAGAACGCTTTCTCCCTCACGTACTTAGTACGATTAACACAGCTCTCAACCGTTTCATGTAAAAAACAAAAAAAAAAAAAGAACGAACAAAAAGAATCGGTAAGAGTTGCATTCACGAGCTCCCCTTCTCAGAACGCATTGTTTTGCTAACTAGAGATGAAAGATATTAAACTGTCAAACTTTCGTAAGCGCAGTGAAGAAAATAAAAGGATAATGGAAGAAAAGAGATTGACACGCTCGTTTACATGTGTATAAGATCTAGGATAATATAAAAGAAACCAAATAGTACGAATAAAGATTAATTATTTGATCGCCAGCGTACGAATAGAGGCAGTCATCTTTGTACAATAAATCTCTGTAGAGTCTTGATATCTCTCAGTCACACGAAATGATGCGAAATACATAGAACGAGACGAATAAGAATCCGGCGGAAAAAGCGGTGATTCGTGATGCAGCGAAAATTGCACGTAGAAAGAAACAACATTTTTGTATTTTTTCTTTTTTTTGTTTTTTCGCGATGATGACGTTTTAAAAAATTCTTCGACATCGAACGATGAAGAAATAAAAACGCGGACTGCGCAGAACAGTCGGAGCTACGTCGCGTACAAATATAAAATTAGGCTGTATAAAAAGTATTTATATACACACACATACACACATATAAACGCACACGTATGCTTACACACACGTATACGCGCGTATAATAAAACACATGCGTGTAAGCGTACGTGTATCTCTTGTGCATATGTGCTCGATAGACTGTACACATTCAAGATTCAGATGTGTGTGAAACAGATAAAATAAATCTACATCCAATTTCGCTTTGCGAATGATTAATTCCATCAAATTTAATTACCTGTTATATTTGTTATTATTATTTTTTTTTTTTCGTCGTCATTTATCAATAAGAGAACATAGTTCGGGAGAAAGTTTGCTTGTTGTTGTTGTTGTAGTTTTTTTTCTTTCCCTAAAATCAGTTCGTGTCTGTCTAAACCCCTAAAATGCTAGCTACGTCGATTTTTTTTTTTTTAATCGCTAAACCTAAAACTCCTTATTACAATAGCGTGTGTACGGATAATCTAGTCATCATATTTTACTTGCTCAACTTAGAAATTAATAATTAATATGTACTATTTACAACACTTAATGTTACAATTTTTTTTTTTCTATTTATATCTTCTCTCTTTAAATCCCATTTTTCACCAAGAGAAACGATGTTGAACGTTTTTGTTTTTTAATTCTCGTCGCCACAAAATATCTCGGTTTCGCTGTGTTGCACATGTGCCAGAATAAGTTGTACGGTATTTCTTTTCAGAATTTTCTCTCTCTCTCTCTCTCTCTCTTGCTCTGTCTCTCTAACCCTCTGTACTTTCTTTCTTATTTTTCTTTTTTTTTTTTTTTCATACTCTCTCAATCTCAGTTCAGACTACAGACTACACTTTGCACCGGTATATAACACAGTTGAACTTATTAATCCCAGATACATCACAGATTCATTCCAAATAAAAACACACATCGCCCTCATCAGCGTTTATATCATCATTACCGCGCTCTCTTAACAATTACACACTTTTCATTTTTATGTACAAAAGAAGCGTCTGGATTTTCTGTTTATTGTGAACATGAGATGTACATATTACAGCCCTAGATGTTCCATAGATCGAATTACGTGCGGCATCAAATGTCATTTTCGCGGGCTTTATCCGAGTCCAAGTCGATGTAAAAATTTTATATATAAATTTTACTTCGATTTGAACGGGATTCGTCGAGCGTATATTCAAAAATGAAAAGACTCAATAGACCCGTATCCGTTCGAAAGTTTTACTTTTACATCGTGTTTTTCTTTTTTTCTTTTTTGCCAAAAACGAAATGCATCATGTATCGCGTCTGCAAATATATCGAAAAAAAAAAAACTTAAAAAGTAGAAAAAATATATACACACATAGGCGAGAGAGTATACATTATTTATAACGATTATATGTATAACGACTTCTTTCGACAGTTTGTTTTTTTTTTTCTTCTAAACTATCGCGTCCACGAGTTCTCGTAAAACTGAAATTCGATATTACTCATGTAATTCGCAAGAATTAAAAAAAAAACAGGAATTCACGCGTTTAGATCGGCGATTAAATTGTAATTAGTGTTTCGTTTCATGTTTATAATATATTTTTATATATAAACCTTAATATCTCCAATATTGGCATTTATAAATTATACACCGTATATATAAAGTAAACTGATAGATTAAAATTAGTGTCAGTATATATAATCAACTCTGAAAGCTCTGACGCAGCAACACCACGAAAAACATAAATATAAAATCAAATATTTGATTTGTAAATTGTTCTTTCTTCTTTTGCGCTCCGCGGGAATGATTTTATTTTATTTTATTTTTTGACTAAAAATATATTAACGAAATTAAAGACAGAATTTGTAAAACAACAATATCGGGCGGGGGAGAAGGGACTTTGTTTTTAAAACATTACATACGTTATAATCTCCACTCGTCACACGCGTTGGAGATCGCACAATGTTCATATTTATATATATATATATATGTGTATATATATATAATTATCTACATATGTATAACTATATGCGTATATATAAAAAGAAGAAGTCCTCTTAAATTAGAAATTTTGGCGATTGATAATAACGCATAAATGTTATAGGCTTCCTTATGACCTTTTTTTTTTTTTTTTTCAGCGTCAATTAATCGTCCAATTCAATTATCGCACAATCGATAATCACTAGTGAATAATAGACTAAGAAACGTGTGTCACAGCATTTCTCTCTCTGTATATTCTCGCAATAGCTGTATGTTGATGCACTAAATGGAGTAAGTCACGCTACAGCTGAATAGGCAATAGAAGACGATTATCAATCCTCATCCGAGAGCGGTTCGTATTGCGCGGATAGTAAAGGCGCTGGCTCGGCCTGCATCTGTTCCGACTTCACCGAGGTGGATGTGGTCGCGGCGGGTGGCGGGGCTGGAGGTGGACCCGTGTGCACTCCTAGCGCACTAAACGGATAAAATGTGGTGGTAGCCGCGGGCGTAGGCGGGGGTGGTGGCTGCTCACGAGTCGGATTGCCTGTGTCATCAACCACCATCTCGCCGGTACTGCCACTCCCGCTACCACCACCGCTACCGGACGGGCTTCTCTCTACGTTTCCCGCACCTGCCCCTTTCTCATCCTTCTCGGTTGTAACAATAGAGCTGCCGCTTCCGTTTCTGTCTGAGCCAACATCGCCACCACCGGCGGCCTTATCATCTTCGGTGCGCATCACTTCGACGATCTTATTCTTCACGTAATCGAACGGTGATATCTGATGCGGCTTGTTGGAAGGAGTTCCGGAACTAGATGTGGCAGTGCTCGATTCGTAGAAGTGACGTCCGTAATGATTGGTAGTCGCTTCCGGCGGCGAAACCGGTTCGACCGAGTGATGCTGTTGCTTTCCGGAGGACTGGTGTTGTTGTTGCTGCTGTTGCTGCGTCTGTTCGAACTGTTGCCGAGTGAAAGCTCGCATCATCTCGTCTCCGCTCTTCACTGGGTCAGACTCGTTAAGTTTACGTCTCTTCCACGACGATTCCTCAATTTGATATCTGTTGTTTCGAAGAAAAAACATGATAATACGTAATATTTTAAAATCTTTAAAAACTATTGATTTTTTTGTTTAGATTTTCTGTGAATATAAAATTCAAGTTTACACGAAGCACAAAAATTCGATCGAATAAAACTAAATTGGAAGAAAAATGCGAAAATTGCACAACTGCTTTATGTATATTTGGCGCGGACACTTACGTCGTATAAGATCTGAGATACGATGACTGATGTGTGGCATAATCCTTAGATACAATACGATCGACGTGTTCGCCGACGGTCATTGCTGTTTTGCTACCGCCGCTACCATTGCCACTTGCAGCGTTACCGCTGCCACTTCCTTCGCCAGCGGGACTGTGAGCTATACCGTTTGGCTCTTGCTGCGTTTCGCGATGAAAGCCCTACAAGAACAAACGCGATTTACAAAAATAATATACAATTTAATATCAGAAATTAAAACAATAAAGAGAAGCGTAGATTGTGCCGAATAAAAAAAAGAGACAATTATTTACCTGAAAAAGACGATCGCCAGCACGTGTCGGCTGATTCGCTGAAGAACCGCTTCCACCGGAGTTCTCATTTGATCCTTGATTGATCTGATGTGTAATAATTGCATCTATAATAGTAGCAGCGGTGAGAGTCGACGAGTCATTTTGTTGTTGATTGGATTGATTTTGTCGCGATGACGACTGTTGTTGCTGCTGCGATTGCTGAGACTGCAGTCGAGACGACTGTGAGAATCCGCTACTCAATAATCTCGACGACTCTCTGTCTTGTTGCTGTTGCTGATCTCTGTGACACATCATGGAGAGGTGCATTTGTTGCCTCCTATCAGCTTCCATACGTTGTTGTTGCTGTAGATGCGCGAGCTCCCGATGGTCGCGATGCGCTTGCTGCACAGCCAGACGATGTTCCGCTTGTTGAATTTCTTTTTCACGCTGAATAAATTTCTCCTGAAGGAATCTATCTTGCTGCATGTCCTTCTCGCGTTGCTGCTGCTGCTGCAGACGATGCTGTTCGTGCTCCCTCTCGCGTTGCGCTGCTGCTGCCGCCGCCATTTGTTGATGAATTTCTTTCTCTCGCTGCTGATGAATAAATCGATCGTGCTGGATCTCCTTTTCTCGAGCTTGTTGTAAACGAGCGTGCATATCCTTGTGCTCGTGCATGTCCTTTCGCTGCTGCGCAAGACGATGTTCCTGCTGCTGAATATCTTTCTCCCGCTGGATGTTTGCAAGACGATGTTCCAACTGGTGCAGGTGCTGTTGTTCCTTTTCACGATGCGCTTCTTTCTCTCGCAAATGAACGAGTTCCCTGTCACGTTGATCGCGCTGATGGTGCGCCGCTGCAGCTGCCATCGCCAGTCTGTGTTCGGCCTGCATTGTCATGTGACGATCTTGTTGTATCCGTATGTCTTGCTCCCGAAATGCCCGGTTGTTATCAAAACGGTCGGCCATCAAACGATCGGCCATAGTTTTTCCAAGACCTTCGTGTCCACTACTGCCAGTCGCGGCTGGATGACCATGCGGATGCGGCACCGGAAGACTTGGTTGCTGCACTGCCACATCCACCAGACTAGAGAATGCCTCCAAACCCGGTGGCGGAGGCGGATAGTGCATCTGCTTTTGCGGATTATGCCTCTGAATGACGCCTTGTCGTGGCTGCGTATGCGTCTGCGGTGGAGGAGGCGTGCTAGCGTAATAGAGAGTTGAAGATGGTGGTGGCGGCGGTTCGCTCTTAACCGTCTCGTTGGCAGCAGACGCGCCACCACCACTACTCCGGGCGCGTGCGTGCATTTGTTGGCTAGTAATATAGTCGTTCATAATGATTTGCCGACTTGACAATTGCTGTTCCATTGTGTAACTAGGCGGTGGACACGCGGCGGCTGAGTAAGAATTATACTGACTACCACCGTGGCTTACCACGACGGCCGGCGACGCCACTTGACTACTAACGGGAACTTGTCCCGGAGGTGGAACGTTGCTGCCGCCCGTGACAGGCGAGTGTCGAATGGGGCGATGATAGTCATACATCGGCGCGCCGCGTTTATCCATTGCAAATGGCATTACCGGTGTACCTTGAGTAATTGATCCTCCAGTTTCTTTTGGAGCCCCTGGACCGGCGGAAGTATTGACAGCACCGCCACTGCTACCACGTTCAGCAATGTTGGCGTTACCACCACCCGCCGGAGGTTCAGGCTTCAATAAACTCTGTAATAGATCGTTATAACGCATTGGCGTACCATGCGTGATAGAACCACCCTTGTGTCCCGGTGTACCCATGCTGCTCAATTTTGGCGACAATTTCGGGTGAGGCGGTGGTACGTTAACTTTATTCATCTTCGGTGTGATGGGAGCCTGCGGTCGCGGTGATGAAGAGTAGACCAGAGGACTCTTCGCGCCGCGTCCTTGTTCAGGGTGAGGCGCATGAGAATGATAGTACGCACTCGGAGGTGGTTCTGATCGATACAACGTGACCGTAGGCGGTGGTTTGTGCATTTGCATCGAGTGATTATATTCTTGTTGCACTCGAGGTTTCTTGATGCTTAAATCCAACGTACCCTCCGTTTCCCGAAGAGCCTGTTGTACTTGCATAACAACCAGACCTTCCTTAGGGAGTAAATCCGATGACGAGGCTTGACTACTGGGTGGTGCAGGCGGACAGGGTGTAATGGTGGCTTGCATTTGCCCTGAAATAATGAAATAAATAAATAAATACATGTAGAACAAATTTTTGACACAAATTTCAAATAACCTAATTTGTATTTTATGTATACAACGTTTCCCATCTACGAATTCAGTGTGTATATGTGAATATAACAATATTATTAATCAAATACTTACCGATCTGTTGTGGACTTGGGGCAGAACGATGACTGTGATGAGGTCCCGAAACAACAGAAAGCGTTGCGAGTGAGTCTCTATTGGACGATAACGGAGTATTATTCGATATGTTCGAGCTAGCTTTGTAGCTGCGAACGTATGCTATGTCATTACGATGATCCGTCTTCAAAATACTGGATATTGTCGGTGTAGCGGAGCTATTAGGCGCTGATGATCCGCTATCGGATGGACTGTTAAAATTACGTTTTAATTGCATTTCTATTACACCAACCATAAGATCTTTGACAGTAATAGGATCGTTATTTGGTGGCGAATGAACGACCGACGGATGCTCATGTTTGTGTCGCTGATTTTGTTGTTGTAATGACGGCGTGTTGTTATTGGCGGACGTCAGAGTGACTACAACACCGCCATTATCTAAATCAGCACCTCCCTGACCTTCGTCCGCTGTCTCCTGAAACAATTAGCGCACCTCTATCAGACGGCCCTATCGTGCGAAAAAAATATTGTCTTACATCTTATCGTTCGTTAATCTTAGAGTGTTAACTATTTTCAAGAGCCGCTCGATGACGGTTTGCTTATTTTTAACGTTTCGCGATTAATCTCTAATTTTTGTAAAAAAAAAAAAAAACAAACAAACAAATAATGACATAAGCAATTGTACAGTAAGCATTTTACAGGCAGCATTTTCTATATATATATATATTATATTTTTTATTCTATTTTCTATCCTAGAGCAAGGCAAACTAAAAAGGACTTCCTTAGGAATTTCGTCTTACCGTGGCAGAACTATCATAATCTTCCCTGGTGCCACCACTAGATGCAGCGACAGTTGTGCTTGAAGACTGGTGAGAAGTGCCAGGTGGTACAAGCGACACTACCGCTATGTCCGAGAGTTTTTCACCGATTTTCTGTTCCGTGGATCGTTGGAAAGACATCGGTAGTGACGTCGACGCTGTTGTGGGTTCGTGAGATGTTACTCCTTGATTGTTACCGGTCATGGCCGCAGGACTGCCTGCGCTAGCGGTATCACTCGAATCGTGTACCTAGAAATGAGAAAGGTAAAAAATGAATGCAAGTTTTTTCAAGTTAATTGCACAAACAAATTCTATAAAATGATGTTAAATTTCGTTTCTACACATAAATGAAATCAATTTGAAAAAACTCACGACAAGTTCGTCGCAGCTGCTGGTACTGCTGCCGCTTTCCTCCTCGTCCGTTAGACACGGTCTTCGTTCTTCGCCCAACGATGCGTAATACTCGGCCACAACTTGATCCAGGCTGAGCTTCTTTCGATAAGCGAGATAATAATTCTTGCACTGATGATTCGTCTTGCCGGGTATCTGCTCGGCGACTTTCGGCCAATTGGTGCCGTGTTCGCGAAGCGCTCTTCGAAGCTGTTCCAATTCCTCGTCCGTCCATTGTCGGGACAACGCGTCGGCGCCGTCCTCAGACACTTCGGTGCTACCGGTGAGATGAGGTGCCAAACGACGCGATATACGGCTAAAGCAAGCCGAGCAGCATTTTGTCGCGCTATTTGGTATCTCTGAAATAATCGAGACGAAAGTGTGATTTAGATAATTTGCGAAATGTATGTGTGATATGATAAATAAATAAAAAAAAAATAAAAAATAAAAAATCTAATACTCTCGAAGAGGTGTATATAAATGCTTACGGAATTCCTGAGCTATCGGTTCGCGGATTTCCGGCGGCAGGTCCTGCCATTTGGCGGGCAAGGCTCTGAGCCGTTTCACTCTGGACTTCGAGCTGCTCAGATTTGGACAGCCGGGCAATGGACAGGCTGTGTAACGTCCTCTTACGGCCTTGCACCTACACGTATTGCAAACACGTGCGCCAGGAGGCACCTGATCCTCCCGTAATCCGTACTGCGACGCCTGGCTGCGCGGTAACGCGCGACTGTGCGCGCTTCCATCAACGACGTTTTGACATACAATGCAAGCGTGAGGTCCTATCTGTCTGCCACTCTCTGTAATAACAATAACAATAATAATTAAAAAAACCCCGGAAAAATCAAAATAGAGTGACTGCTATTAGAAATAACACAGGAAAAATATAATAATCGATGATTTAAGGCCTGATTTTAAAAAATGCGCAGTGATATATATTTTGTGGAACGTCAAAATTTTCAAATATAAAATATTCAATATCTTCTCACAATTATCTAAGATAAAACTAAATTTTAAAACTCGGAGGAATAAATTATCGACAACGAACAAATTCGCGAAATTGCAATCAAAGTTTGTGTTTTTCTCGAACGCGCAGGCAATGTGTCGAAATACGTTTTCGAATCGAGAGCGACGCGTTTCACGCGCTGATACGTCGCTAGGGCCAACGATAAGAATCAAATAAAATAAAAGCGTGTACAAGAGGCGACGGAGCGGATGCACGTGTGTGTGTGTGTGTTCATGGTGCAATATGCCGCACCATCACTACGTATATATATATGTGTGTGTGTGTGTGTGTCTAGATTTTATCGCGACGCAATTGCAATATGACGCACACTGTCGCTAAAAATGTCAAAGGGGTTGTCTATTGAAACGATTCGGCAACGCCAACGTATCTCCAACACGCGCTGTGAAATATAAATGCACGCGCGTGTCAGTCGTGTATTAATGCTCGACCATCGTGGGCCATTCCGAGTCGTTGGAGTCTACCTGTAAATGAGATTTCGACCAAGTCCGAAGTAGTTACAACAAAGTGACAATAATTAAATCCTCATCGTTCGGATATAATCATTTTTTTTTTTTTTTTTTTTAACTTTTGACAGTTGTTTGACATTTGTTTTTATATTTAAATAAAATAAGCTCCTCTTTCTTTTTCTTTGTACAATATGTTACAAATGTTTTATTAATGAATATTTCAAACACTCAATAGATCTCTCGATCTCTCGAACACGTCGTCTTTTTTATTCTTCGCGTTATTTTGTCAAAAAAAAAGACACTGTTTATTGTTTCTTTGGGAGTGTGCAAAATCGACTCGAGCCCGTTATTTTTGAAGCGGTGTTAATTCTCGAGCGCGACGATGCGCGGACGTCATTCGCAAAATGTTTCGCGCGGAAATAAACGTGCAACGCACAAACACATATATATATATATATATATATATATACGCGGGACTTCGCTTCCAGCGGCTATTTAGAGAATGTACTCGCGTTTATCCGCTATGAAATTGGGTAAATATAGTTAATCACGAGCCGCGCGGAAGGAACTCGAGTGAAAACGCGCGGAGCGTGGCGCAGGAGGAGCGAAGGGATGAAAAGCGGGGACGGACGCGGGGAAGAAGAGTTGGCGCACGGAAACGGAGCGAGAGACAGTATAATTACTCGAGACTCGGCTAATTAAGGACGCCCAATTAAAAAGTTCTGCCGTTCGTTCTTAGCCTCGCGCAAACGTCGGCATCGCTCGCTCGCTCGCTCGCTCGCCCGCTAAGTAAGATCGCTTTGATAGTTCGGCCCTTCTTGCCTGGGCGAAACTGCGTAAATTTACTCGCGTCAACAATTATCGCGAAATGTGAAATCGCGTGTGCAATAATTGCACCCGCGCGACTCACCGTCAACGAAAAACAAACAAAAAAATAGACAACCGTGCGTGATTTTCTTGCAGAAAATCCCAATCCCGCGATAATAATATCCCGCGTATATGTAATTTGCGATATATAATTATAATATATAATTATACACATATACCCACATATATATACATAATTATAATATTTCGCGAAATAAAAAATTTCAAAGAATTGAGATAAAAATATAGATTTAAGTAATTATTACATTGTACACACAAGAAACGTAAGTACATATTGAATTCTCGACAATCGCGCTTCGATAAGACAGAAACGCATGACCGACGGACTATAATCTAATTCAGCGCTAATTCGGAATTAATGAAAATCGGAATTAAACGATGGCCCGATCGATGCTTCGCCAATTATTTAGCAATCGGTACTCCTGGCTCCTTGTGTGTGTGTGTGTGTGTGTGTGTATTTATCTCTCTCTTTTTCTCCCTCTCTCCCTCTCCCTCTCTCTCTCTCTCTCTCGCGGACAACTTGTACATCGCGATAAATCGCGAATCCCGGATGCTGCGCATCTACTCTCCGGTGACCTGTCACACGCGAGAGCCCCGCGTCCTGCATGTCTTTCGTATTGTACGCGGGGATTATTGTTGACACGGAATTGCCAATGACATCGCGAGCGCGATCGCTGCAACGAACTGCGGAAGCCGGAATGTGCGAGAGAGTATATGAAACGCGCGCGCGCGCGCGCGTGTGAGCATCCGCGGCATACCGATTGGAAGAGTAGCCGGCGCGAAGCGGAGACGAGAATATTCGCGACACTGATTGGCAGGTATTCCCGAGAGCGAGAGAAAATCGCTCTCGTAATTCGCGCGCTCCCCCGGCCCTTGTGCGCGCACGGGATCGACAGGCCAAGTAGAACACGTGAAAATTTTTGCGCCGTGCATCTCCGAACGTGCGCGCGGCCTCGCCTGTGTTTGATTTCCGTAAAACGGAAAATACACGACATCGATATAATATATATGATACGCGGAAAATGCTACATGTATGTATACACGCGGAGCTTTTCGATTTTTCGCGATATTGCATCCCGTACATCCGATGTTTAATTCGTTAAATTTTTAATGTAATGTAAATTTTACATCGTTTTGGATAGACACACATAAATGTGGATGAACTTTATGAGCATCGACTCTTCGAAGAAAATATTCGAACAAGGGTCATTTAAGTAATGAGAAACATTAAAATATCTCTTCGTCGAGTACTGCGCGCGCGCACGCCTATATATTATTAAGCGCGTTAATAATTCTTTTCCGTTATTCTCTCCCGAATAGAAGAGAATTTTTGAGAACGTCGAGAAAGAGTATATATGCCGAGAAAATTCAACAACTCTCTCCTGGAGGGAGATGTGCGCCATTTAAATTTTTTCTTTCCGCGATAAGAAAAAATTCTTCGACACGTTTTTTCTCGTCGAGAGAAAAAAATGTTTCTTCGCGCGAAGTTGTTTCGCGCCGAAAAAAAGCGCGATGGTTACATCTCAACCACAAACGCGACAATCGTACGCGCGCCGATGGCCACCGCGCGGCGCGCGTACGACGGCACAAAGCGAATACAATAATACTCGCGGAATATAACGCGTGTCACGTGGAATAATTCGTAAAGTTCGTTTCCCCGCTCGTTTCCGAGCTATACTCAAAGTAATATGCTACACGCGGGGAGGGGAGCGATCCCGGGAGAGAGGTGCGGACCGAGCACCAGGTAAAGGAGAGTTAAAACTGGATGAAACGTCGTGATGAATAATTGATACGAGCTCATTCAATAGAGAACCCATGCGCAGTTACGCGATACATTGTAGCCGTTATTGTTATAGCCGCGTATAATGTTAACTCTCTCTCTCCCCCGCCTCCCGAGCGGGGGTAGAGTGAATTGCGTTTAATAAACAGTCTTGGAATTGCGAATGTATTTGCGATACACGCACAAGTTCAAACAAAAAGATTTAAATTAGATGATGAAACAAAATGCTCAAATACAAAATCGCTGATCGATGTAATTTTTTTTCTTTTTTCTTTTTTTTTTTTTTT